TGAGGATCCCCTCAATTACAGCGCGAAAGGCAGCAGTGAACCCCTCCCTACTTGAAAACTCTCCACGGGAAAAAAAATGCACACTTCGACGCCGTCGCCTCTCGCGGCGCCTTCAACCTACGCCCCCTCCGTCGAATCCCTCCCGCGTCGTTCGAACCGACAGAGCGCCGCGTCGATCTTCGACGACACCGTCGCCGCGCGAGCGACGGTCTCGACGCACGCCGCGTACGCCCCCGCCGCGCGCGTCAACCCAACGTGCGGCACCCCGCCGTTGAACCACGACGCGGGCGGACGCCGCGGCCGCGTCCGACGCCGCCGCGGGTCGGGGTCGGGGTCGGGGTCGGGGTCGGGTCCATCGCGCGCGAGGGCGTCTGGAGGAGGGGTCGCGGCGGCGGCGGCGACGGCGGCGCCGATACCCGCCGCCGCGCCCGCCGCCGCCGTCGCGCGTCGCCGCAACCCGCCGCCGTCGGGTCCCGCCGCCGCCGCGTCTTTTCGCTTCTTCACCTCGTCGTCCCCCGCGACGCCCTCGTCGTTCCTCGGCGGTCTGTCCACGACCTCGTACTCGCGCGTCGCCGCGGACGCCTGCTTCGCCGCGGCGTCGTCGCCGCCGGCGTCGTCGCCGTCCGCCTCGCGTCTCGTCACGCGCACGCCGACGAGGGCCTCCATGTCTGTCGGGAACGCGAGCGGACCGACCGCGTGATGTCCGAACGGCGAGGCGATCCTCGCCGAGGCGACGTCCATGTTCGCGTCCGACATCGAGGACGCGAGCGAGAGCTTCAGCGCGACGAGCTCTTCGCTCAGCTCGAGGATCTCGAGCAGCTCGGCTTCGGTGCGCTCGCGAGGCGACATCGCGCCGGCGTTGTGATTGATCTCTCCGAGAAACGCCATCCAAAACGTCCGCGAGTGCGGAGAGACGAGTACGATTCGACGTACTCTCGTATGTGCATTCAGTCATGGAGTACGACGGAAAGGGAACAATCTCCGAAAGAATGCCTTCTTCTGGAAGAACGCGAACGCGAGCGCGAACGCGTCGACGGCGGCCGCGGGGGCATTCCTTCGAGCGCTAGCTAGGGATCTCGGCGCCGCGGAGCACCTCGGTGACGCCGAGGCTCCCCGCGGCGGCCATGGAGACCGTACGCTCGGGCTTGCGAATCGTCGGCTCCGTCGCCGCGCACGCCGCCGTCGGCGTCGGCGCCGGGTCCGTCGCCGCGGTGTCCACGGTCCTGCCGTCCACGGGCGGCGCGATCGACCTCATCGCGGTGCGCCAGCCGGACGGGTCGCTGCGATGCTCGCCGTTCTACGTCCGGTTCGGGAAGTACCAAGGCCTCATCCGCGGCCCGGAGAAGGTGGTGACCGTCACCGTGAACGGCGTCCTCACGGACTTCACGATGCGCTTGGGGCGGAACGGCGAGGCGTTCTTCGTCGAGACGACCGAGACCGCGGAGCTCGTCGACGTCGCGCGGCTCGCGGCGTCGCTCGAAGACGGCGGCGCGCAGAGCGCGGACGTGAGCATCTTAGAGGAAGGCGCGACCGACGACGAGCTCTCGGAGGACGACATGAGTAACTTAGAGGGAGAGATCGCGCGCCTGCGGAGGGGCGTCGCGTCGACGTCGCGCGGGAGCTCGGGGGTGAATTCCGACGACGGCCTGGACGCGGGACCGCACCCGTTCCTTCGCACGATCTCGTCCATCTCCCGCGCGGAGCGCGATCTCCTCGCGCGCGCGGACTCGCTCGACCCCGAGGACATCGCGTCCGAGGTGGAGAAGCTCGCGCTGGAGACGGCGAGCGCGCGCGCGAACCGCGGCGACGGCGAGGAGACCGCCGGGGGAGACGAGAAGACCCTCGAGGGGCTGCGAGAGGTAGCCGCGAAGCTCGATCTGGACGCGTCGACGACGGACGCGGACGCGGACGCGGCGGCGCACGGCGGCGGCGGGAGCTCCGGCGACGACACCGCGAAGGAGGTGAGCAAGGAAGGCTCCCCGGACGCGGCGAAGCGCGAGGCGACCGCGGCGGCGGCGACAGCGGCGACGCGAGAGGCGGCGGCGACGGCGGCGCGGGAGCAGCTCGCCGCCGCGGACCCCGCGCCCGGGGGGTGGGGGTGGCTGCACGGCTGGCGCGGGGAGAAGACCCCGACCGCGGCGTCTGCGGCGTCCGCGGAGGTGTCCGCGCGGTCGTCGCCGGCGAAGCCGCCCGCGGACGTCGTCGACGTCGGGTCGATCGAGCGCGGGTACCTCAGCGAAGTGGACGCGGGCGCGGGCGCGGGGAAGGACGTCGAAGGACGCGGCGCGAAAAAAGCCTCAGGCTCCGCGGCGACGGGCGGATCGCTGTTGCGAGCGCGGAGGAACACGACGAACTCGTCCACGGAGACCGTGCCTCTGTTCGTGTCCGTGCCTTCCGTGCCCATGGGCGCGGCGCGCGTGGACCGGACGGACTCGCTGCGCTCGTCCGGGGAGGTGGACGCGATGGACGACGCGACGACGTCGATGGCGGCGGCGACGTTGTCGCTGCTCGGCGGCGGCGCGAACGGCGGCGCGGTGATTCCTCACCTCGAGCTTTCCCTGTGCGGCGGCGACCTCGGGGCTTTCGACGAGCACCGCGTGGAGTTGCACGCGTTCGTCGCGGACCCGAGCGCGTTCGCGACGCACCCCGCGCTGCTCGTGAGGCCGGCGCGGCCGCGCGGCGCGCCGCCGGCGCCGCCGCTGCCGTGGGCGGCGGCGGCGCCGCATCTCCTCGGGCACCTCGCGTTCGGGACGCCGCTCCCGGGGTCGTGGTTCAACACACCCGGGGGGGCGATGAAGTACGCGTCCGTCCCGGGGTCGCCGATCGCGGCGAGGCGTTCGTTCAGCGCGGGCGGATCGCCGCTGCGCGCGCCGTCGAGCGCGGCGGCGGCGGACGTGACGCGCGCGGCGAGGGGGAAGACGTTGAAACGACCGAAACGGAAACTCCGGAAGAGCATCACGCTGAACAGCGATCAGGTGTCCGCGCTCGGTCTGCGACCGGGGAAGAACGTCATCGCGTTCTCGTTCCAGTCCCGCGTCTGGGGCCGTCAAGAGGTGCAAGCGCACGCGTACTTGTGGGACTGGAACGCGAAAGTCGTCGTGTCCGACGTGGACGGGACAATCACGAAATCGGACGTGTTGGGCCACCTCGCGCCTATGGTCGGCAAGGACTGGAACCACGCCGGCGTCGCGACGCTGTACAACAACATCAAAGATAACGGCTACCAGCTCATGTTTTTATCCTCCCGGGCGATATCGCAGAGCAAAAACACGCGGCAGTACCTCGAGAAGCTCACGCAAGACGGCGAGACGTTGACGCAAGGGCCGGTGATGCTGGCGCCGGACCCGCTGTCCACAGCGCTGTACCGCGAGGTGGTCGTCAGGCGCCCGCAGGAGTTCAAGATGCGATGCCTTCGCACGATCCGCGACTTGTTTCCCCCGGAGTGGAATCCGTTCTACGCCGGGTTCGGGAACCGGGAGACGGACACGGTGTCGTACGCGAGCGTCGGGGTGCCGCCCGGGAGGAATTTCACGATCAACCCAAAGTCCGAGGTTGTCGCGGAGGTCACGAAGATGACGAAGCGGTACACGCTCGCGGGGATCAACGAACTCGTGGACGAGATGTTTCCCGCGGTCGAGGAGAGCGTGGACATCAATGTTCCCGCGGAGTGCGACCAGTTCGGGGATTGTCAGTTTTGGAAGAAGGACATCCCGGAGATCGACCTGGACGACTTGCCGTGAATTTTTTTATTTTTTACCGACGACGAGAGCCCGACGAAGTCGCGGCGTATTCATCGTGCCTACTAGCTATCACAACTTGAAAACTAAAAACAACTTAGTCTACAACTACTACGCGCGCGCATCGCATCGCATCGCATCACATCGCATCACGCGTGCTGCGCCGCGTACGCGTGAATCGCGATCGACGCGCTGACGTGCACGTTCAGGCTCCGGATCAGCCCGACTTGTTTGATGACCACGCACTCGTCCAGGAGCGACAGCAGATCCGCGTCGACGCCTTCTCTCTCGCGGCCGAGCACCAACGCGGTCTTCTTCGGGAACTGAAACGTCTCGAGCGCGACCGCGCCTCGCGTTTGCTCGAGTCCGATCAGCGCGTACCCTTCCCTCGCGAGCGCGCATAAGTACGACGCGAGCCTGCGCGCGGGGACCTCGCGGACGGGCAAGTGTTTTTCCGCCGTCACGGAGATTTGCGTAAACTCCGGGCGCGTCGTCGCCTTCTTGTCGCGCATCACGAGCGCCTCCGCGCCCATGACTTCGCACGTCCGCGCGAGCCCGGCGAGGTTTGGGATGCGGTCCAAGAGCGACGCGACGACGACGAGTCCGGGCGGGCGCGTCCGCGGCGCGGACGCCGCGGCGGCGTTCGCGGCGGCGACGTCCGACGCGTCCATCTCCGCGGCAAACGCGTCCAACGCGGTGGGCGCGTCGTCGTCCACATCTCTTCCCAGCGGCTCCATCTTCTTCTGGAGCGACGTCGTAGACGTCGCCGTCGCCGTCGTCGTCGCCGCCGCCGCCGCCGCCGCCGCCGCCGCCGCGTCCGCGTCGACGCCGGAGACGGTGCCGTCGGGGTGTAACACCCCCGTGCCCGTGACGGGCGTCGAGCAGTCGTGTCCGTTTCGCATCGCGTCCTCCCAGAGCGCCGCGTCCACGGCGTCGCGCTCGCGCCTGAGCTCGACGCGGCACGCTTTCAAGAACGCGTCCACCTTGTCGAGGACGCTCGCGGGCGCGCCTTCGAACCCGATCTGATCGGGCGCGGGCTCGTCGCCGTCGCCGTCGCCGTCGCCGCCGCCGTCGCGGCCGCCGCCGCCGCCGCCGTTTTCGCGTTCGCCCGCCTCGGGTTCGAAATTTTCAAAATCCAACGCCCCCGACAGCAACGACGCGGGGTCCACGGCGACGTCCTTCGTGAACAACGGCCCGCACGCGGCGCGAACTTTCACCATCTCGTCCCTCGACTTCAACACCGAGTGTATCGCACCGAGGAGGTCGACCTCTCTCTCGTCCACCTCGCTCGTGTACTCGTCTTTGTAGTACTGCCGGCTCCACGGCTGCGCGAGCCACTCGTCTTTGATCCCCAGCTGTTTCAACGCGCGGAGGAGATCCTTCTTCGGGATGAACCCGTCCGGGTGCGCGTCCGTCTCGGGCAGGTGCCAGTCCGGGTCGTCGTCCTCCTCCTCCTCCTTCTTCCCGGCGGGCTCGTTTATCTTCCCCTCCGCTCTCGCGGCGTCGGCTTTCTCGACGTCGACGCCGCCGAACGCCGCGGCGCCGAAGGCTTCCACGACGTCGTGCGCGGCGACTTGCGCGAAGACGCGCAGCATGTGATTCTGCGCGAGCGCCCACGGCGTGATCGCGACGAGCGCCCGGCGATGCCACGCGTCCCTCTCGATCATCTCCCGCGGCGACCGCAAGACGAACGACGCGGTGACGACGATCCACGACGCCGCCGCCGCGGCTTTGACGTGCGGATCGCGCAACGCGGGGAGCGCGACGACGTCGATGACGCCCGGATGCGCGACGGCGGCGCGCGTGAAGAACACCTCGGCGTAGTATCGCACCCCGGGCATGTTGTGATGCGCGACCGCTTTCGGCGCGGCCGCGAGGAGGAGCGCGCCGAGTTCGCCGCCCGTCCCGGTGAACGGTTCGCCGAGCGCGGGCGACGCCGCGCAGAGAACCTGCCACGCGCGAATTTTCCTTCGATGCGTGAGCGATCCGCGGCGGTACGTCTCCTTGCACAGATCCGCGTCGCCGCCGCTCACGGCGGCGAGGCCGACTCTCAGGATCGCCTCCGCGGCTCTTCTCGCGTGCCACGCGTACCGCTCCTGCGGCGACTCCGATATCTTGATCGGGACGTCCTTATCGATCCCCTCCTTTACGTGATCGTATTCCTTCGGGTTTTCGAAATACGCGCTCGGTCGCCACCCTTTCGGCGGGCGCTGCCGCGCCAACGCGTGCGCGAGCGACAGCACCGCGACTCTCGACGCGACGTGCGACGCCGGGTCGTCGAGCCACCTCGTCAGTGCCGCGGCGTCGTCCTCCGCGGTGGCGGGGGCGTCGCTTCCGCTTCCAGACCCAGGTCTCCGTCGCGACGCCACCGCGGCGCGTTCCACCAGGGTGAGACCGTGATCGCCCGCGAGCGCGAGCGCGAAGAGCTCCTTCGCGTACGCGCACGCGAACCGCGGCGAACCCAACAGACGCGCGCACAGCGCGTGCGCGACGACGCGCGACACGCGACTCCCGCCGCGCTCGTTCGCGATCGCGGTCGCTCGACGCACGAACCACAGGATCGCGCCGACGTTCTCCGCGCTCGCGTCCGGGGGCGACTCGTGCGCGAGGTGCAAATCGTCGCGTTCGAAGAGCCGCGGGTGAAGAATCGCGGCGACGGCGGCGGCCCACGCCGGCGCGTTCTTCCGAAGCTTCGACGACTTCACCGCCGCGTGCGCCGCGCGCACGACGCACGCGCCGAGCGCCGCGGTCTCGCTCGTGTTCCTATCCGACGTGTCCACGAACAAGTGGAACTCGTCCCCGAGCCGCGGGCCCGTCGGCGGCGCGGCTTCGCCCCGCGCCGCGCGAATCGCGCGCATCGTCGCCGCCGCGGACGCCTCCGTCGCGCGGCCGTACCCCAACAGCGCGCCGACGACGCGCAGCGACGCGAGCGCGTGCGTCGCGCTGGCGCGCTCGAGGTCCACGACCGCCACCGCGAGCGCGTTCGGGATCGTGACGTCGAGAAGCTCGTCGCGCTCCGCGCGTAACGCCTCCGGCGTGGACGTTACTTTCCTCTCGAGCGGAATCGCGAGCAACGCGTGCGTCGCCGTCCACGCGCGCGCGACGGCGCTCGCCACCGCGCGACGCAGCGCGTCCGGGTCCGCCTTCGCGCGCTTCGCGTCCGGATCGATGAACGCGTTGGCGGGGCGCTCGATCAACCGCTTCACGTGATCGGCGAGCGCGATCGCGACGCCCTTCAACGCGCGGTTCACGAGCTCCGTCGTCTGCGCGTGCGCGACGTCGTCGACGACGCCGGCGCGGAGCACCGCGTTGAGACCCCGCGCGGACGACGCGAGCGCCTCGAACGTGGACTCGAATCGCGCGACGACGTCCACGCTGTCGTCCACGTCCACCGCGTTTTCGTCGTTCTGTATCTGCCGCCACGGCAGCCGCCGCGCGGGGACGGTCGCGCAGTTGATCACCAGGCGCCAGTTGATCGCGTCTGGTGATCCGCGCGTCGCGTCGACGTCTCGCCGCTCGCCGACCCTCCGCCAGCGACACACCGCCTCCAAGAGCGCGACGCCGCCGCACGCGCGACGCATCGCCACCGGGTACGACGGATGCAACAGCGTGTCCGTCGCGGACACCGCGAGCCCCGGCAGGACGTCCACGATCCGCATCGTGCCGTAGGACGTCTCCTCGGACTCGACGTGTTTGAACAGAAGCATCTCGCGAAGCGCGTCGGCGAGCCGCGCGTCGTCGGGCGTCGACGCGGAGCGCGCGAAGAGCGCCTTGAGGAGCGAGTGCACGCGCTCGACGCGCCACGTCTTGTGATCGGCGTCGACGAGGAGCGTCGTCGCGCCGCACGGGTGGGTCGGGTCCGGCCCGGGCGGCGGCTCGTTGTGTTTGAACAAGCCCTCGTACACCGCGCGCGTCAGCGGCGTCAGGTCCAGCGTCGACGCGGCGTCGTCGTCGTCGTCGGCGCCCCCGCCGCCGAGGAGGAGCGAAAACATGAGTGCGATCTCCCTCGCGGCTTTCTCCGCGTCCTCGTGCACGTCCGGCTCCACGAACCGCGGCATGGAGACGACGTGCGGCGAGCGTGGGCCGTCGATGAACGCCTTCCACGTCGGGAAGAAGTCCGGGATCAGCGACGGCGCGATGGAGCGGACCCACCGCGAAACGCGCGCGCGCGCGTCGTCTTCGACGTCGCCTTTGTCCTTTTCGCCGCCGTCCGCCGCCGCCGCCGCCGCCGCGGGCTTCGTCAGCGGTTCGCTCGGCATCGCCGCGAGGAAGTCGCGGACCGCCCGCAGCGACGCGGCGCCGCCGACGCTCCTCACGGACGCGATCAACGTCGCCGCCCGCGTCACCCGAGCGACGCCGCGCCGCTGCCAGTGCGCCTGTCGCTTCGCGGCGATCGCGGCGGCGACGACGCGGAGCGACGACACGCACCCGTCCGTCGTCTCCGCGGGGCGTCGTCTCGCGACGCCCACGCCTCGCGCGGCAGCCTCCTCCGCCGCCTCCGCGACAGCCTCGACGACGCGCGCGCCGGCGTCGATTCCCGCGAGGGTGACGAGCCCGCGCGCGCACGCGTCCGCGACCGCGCGAAGAGATCGCGCGGCGGCGTCGAACGCGTCCGGCGCGGCGGAAAAAGCGGCGACGCGCGCGCGCGTCACCTCGGCGACTTTCGCCCCGATCCGCCCGCCGCTCGCGAGCGCCATCGCGCTCGGTATCAACACCTCGTGCGTGAACGCGTCCGTGAGCGCTCCCGCGCGCGCCGCGCTCCACTCGCGGTCGCAGAACGCCTCGAGCGTGGACGCGCGAACCGCGGGGTTGGGATGCCGCAGTCCTCGCGTCCACGCGGCTTGGACGTACCGATACTCCACCGGCGGCGTTGGCGGCGGCGGCGGCGGCGACGACGACGACGCGTCGCCCGCGCGCGGATGCAGCGCGCTCAGGTGCGCCCACGCCGCCTCGACGAGGTGCGCGGCGTAGTCCTCGAGCGCGGAGTACATCGCGACGAACGAGACGTGCGCGTCGCCGCCGCCGTCGCCGACGCGGTGCGACAACGCCGCCATCGCGCCCTTCCTCTCGCCGACGTCGTCGCTCGCGAGCCCCGCGGCGATGGCGTCCACGAGCGCGTCGTCGTCGTCGTCGTTCGATCCGGACCCTCCCGCGGCGGTCGTCGTCATCGCGGCGCCGCGAGGACCCAACGCGTAGTCGCGTCCCCGCGGCGTCGCGAGCGTCGCCCACCCCGCCGCGCGTCTCGCCGCGCTCGCGTCCGGGGCGATCATCGCTCGCGCCGCGCGCGCCACGGTCAAGCGCGCCGTCTCCTCGCGTCCGAGCGCGCCCGCGCATCGCGTCGCCGCGGGAAGAAGCGCGTCGAGGAGGACGCGGCGGAGCCCCGCGGGCGCCGCGGGCGTCGCGTCGAGCGTCGCCGAGACGAGCCGTTCGCCGACGCGGAGGACGCATTCGCGGTCGGTCGCGTCGTCGGCGTCGTCGTCGTCCGCCGCCGCGAGGTCCACGGCGAGGTCCAAGAGCGCGGCCGCGAGCGCGACGCCGACGTCGTCGCGCGGCGCGAGGAGGGAGCCGCCGCCGGCGGCGGATCCGCCGGATCCGCCGCCGTCGAATCGAAGGATCGACGAGCCGCCGACGCTCCTCACCAGCGCGCCGTGCACGGTGTCCCACCGCGCGCGCATCCCTCTCAGCGCGTCGACGAGCTCCTGGATGACCTGGTACCGCGTCGGCGCCGTGCTCGGGTGTCCGTCTCCGCGCAGGAGCGGCATCCACGTCGCGTCCACGAGCGCCTCCGCGGAGATGGGATCCCACCACGGCGACGTCGAGCGTGCGGCGGTCGCGAGGAGCAGCGCGAAGCGCGCGTCCTCCTCCGAGCGCGCGGCGAGGTCGCCGCCTTTCACGAGCTCGACGCTCGCGGCGAGAATCTCTGGGATCATCCCCGCGGAGGGGGTCGGGTACGCGAGCGCGACCATGCCGTCGCGCCCGGCGACGTCGGACGACTGCGGTCGGCGCGGCGGCGGATCGGAAAATCAGACGATGGATGGACGCGTCGTGAGGAGGACGGCGCGGCGCGGGGGGAGGGGCGGGGAGGATACGAGCGCGCGCGACGCGTCGCACCAGCTCGGAGGACGCGCGGGCGAACGCGCGCAGCGCGCGTATGCCCGCCGGCGAAGCCATACGTAGCGCCCTGTCGCGGCGGCGGCGTGCGAGTCGACAGTGCCTCGGCGCCGTTTCTCGGTGGGTGCGAACACGAACAACGACTCGAGCGAGTGAAAGCGGTGGCTTCTCGCGCGCACACGACGACGACGACGCGCCCCCGCCCGCGCGCGCGCCGCCGCCCTCGCCGCGAAAGCCGCGCGCGATCGCGTCGCATGGGCTCGCTCCTTTTCGGATGGGATACCCCCCACGATCCGCCTCGCCCGGGGTCCAGGGTCCCGCAGGGTGCGGCGCCGACCCCGTCGCGCTCGAGCGTCGTCGACGCGCCGCCGCACAGCTGTGCGCGACCGGGCTACGTCAAGTGCGAGGCCGCGAGGATCGACCGCCTCGCGCGCGGCGAGACGGCGACCGCCGCCGAAACGCGCGCGACGGAGGATGAGGACGAGGAGACCGCGACGGAGGCGATGCTGCGAGACGTGCGCCTGGCGGCGTGGCACCGCATCCTCGGCGACGCGCGGACGCGCGCGGGGGAGGAAGAACCGCGCGCGAGCGCGGAACCCCGCGCGACGTCGACGTCGCCGCCGCGCGTGGACGACGCCGCGCTCGCGGGCGTCGCCGCGGCGACGAACGTCCACGACGGGAACGTTCGCGCGATGGACGCGCTGACGCTCGTGAACGCGTCGAGCGCGGCGCGCGCGAGCGAGCCGAAGGTGCGCGTGTCGCTCACCGTGGTGGTGGAACGCGCGGCGCCCCGCCGGCGCCGCCGTCGCCGCCGTCGTCGCCGTCTAGCGGCCGGGAGATCTTCTGGGACGCGCTCGCGAGCCGCAGGGTGCCGCCGCGGCGCGACGATCGCGATCAGCCGCGGTGCGTATGTTTCATCCCGTCCCCGCAACGACGACGCGCGGGGGGGTTGAGACCGATAGCGATATCGCCGCCGCGGTCGCCGCCGCCGCCGCCGCCGCCGCCGCCGCCGCCAAAGTCCTCCGAACGCGTCCAAGTATCCCTCCAAGTCGTCGACGCGCGCGACTCGAAAGCCTCCGTCGCGGCCCGAGGCGCGTTCGTGCGCGTCGTCAACGAAGTCATTCGACGCGCGCGCGTCAAGGAGCGCGAGGAGCGCGACGCGACCGACGACGACCGTGCGCACTGGTGGCGGGGGACGCGGAGCGCGCTTCTGAACGCGCCGCCGTCGACGGCGCGCGACGGCGGTCGAGGGCCGGAGCGGTGGGGGGGGGGGGGCGGGTTCACGCCGCAGTTCATGCAGGACACGACGTTGCGGTGGGACGGGGAGGAGGAGGAGGAGGAGGAGAAACGCGCGGACGCCGCGGCGTGAGGACGCGACGACGAGGAGGACGACGAAGACGGACGAGAGCGCGGGAGCGATGAAAAACGCACAGCAAGACTGGACGAATCCGACGCGACGCCCCACGCAAATCGCCCCCGCCACGCCATTTCTAGGGCTGCACGTCACGGAGACTTGAAATAACACACACACAACGCCAGCCGATGTCAGCGCACTCCCACCATGCGCGCGTGCGTCAGCAACGTCCACCTGTTCCACCCCCGGCGGGTGAAAACCCCCAAGCGCGGCGCCCTCGCGGGCCCGCGCGCGTCCACGACGTGGTCCCTCGACGGCGTCGGCTGCGCCGGCGCGCGAAGCGGCGACGAGCGGCTCGTCCGTCGACCGCCCCCCGAAGCGAGTCGTTGCCCGCTCCGACCGATCGACGTCTCGTCTCTCTGCGACTCCCACCACGGTCGATTCGCGATGCAAGACGTCGTGTTCGAGCAAGACGGCGGGAACTTGTTCGTGTACGCCATGAAGACGCCGGACACCGACGAGTGCGTCTCGCGCGCGGATATCGACGCGACCGCGCCCGCGCGCCCCGTCGCGGAGCTGACTCGGATTCGATCTTTTTTTTTTCACTCAACAACCCCCTGACCTCCTCCCCTTCAAAACAGCCTCTCCGGCGCGACGAAGCAGTGGGCGAAGAACCTCGCCCCGATGGAGCGCATGCCGATGGTAAAGCTCTTCCTGTTCCTCGTCTCCGTGCAGGAGTTCTGGAGCACGATCACGTCGCAGATTCGCGCGGTGACGGTCGGCGACGCGCCTCGCGCCGCGGAGCCCGTGGCGTTGCACCGCACGCCGTCGAGCGAGCCGACGCGCTCGAGCGGCGGCCTTCTCGTCGACGGGCGCGAGATTCCCGCGTTCCAGAGGTGGCTCTTGCGACCGGGCGCGGTGCTTAACCTCGGCGGGGACGAGTTCGAGGTGCACCGAAGCGTCCACGCGCACGCGTGAGAGGCGGCGGGGAGATATAAGATACGAAGGTAGGTCGGAGCGCGCGGATAAAAAAGCGCGAGGTCGTCGCGAGCGATCGTTTTGGTTTTCTTTCGGCGCGGCGCGGGGCGGGTTCGCGCGTCCGCCCGCATGGCGGCGTCGCGCGTCGGCGCGTGAAGTACGTGTAAGTTAGCCCTAGATAAGACGAGGGCGTTGTAACATTAAGTTCGTCGTTTGTACCTGTAACATCGAGCGCGTCGCGAGCTGTCCGTCGGGGAAAAAGCGCCCCTTTCGCGCGAAAAAAGCCGCGTCGGATGAGAGATTCGCACACGTCAGCAAAAGCAAAAATATCTGCTTTTTCGTTCGACGCGCTCCATTCCAACGCGCGCCTCCGCGACTCGCACGCGATCCTCGCTCACGCTCTCCGCGCCCTCGCCGGTGCTTCCGGTCCTCCTCAACCTCCACCGCCTCCCGTTCCCTCTCGCGGAACGTAAAGCAAGAACCTCTCGCGCGCCGCTTCGAACGAATCGCGTATCGTATTTTCCGTCATGAACGCCATCGTCACTTCGGCAACCTCGGCGCTGTCCTCGCGACAGATCAACACGATCCACCTGAAGCGCGTCGCGCGGCCGCGCGCCCCGATGAACGTCGCGACGCGCGCGATGACGTCGTGGAAGCTCGACGGCGTCGGGTGCGCGGCGTCGCGAGGCGGCAACGGCGCGCGCCTCTCGGGCGCGTCGAATCAAAATTGCCCGACGCACGCGATCGACGTGTCCACGCTCTGCGCTTCGCACGAGGGAAGGTTCGAGATGGCGCACGCGATGTTCGAACAAGAAGGCGACGCGCTGTATCTGTACAGCACGAAAGCGTCGGAACACTCCACGAAGGACGAAGGAGGAGGCTTCGTCTCGGACGAGCTGTTCGTCGACGGCCGCCCCGCGCCGGCGTCGAGCTGGAGCAAGATCAAGTTGAAGCCGGGACAGATCGTGAACATCGCGGGCGTGGAGTTCCAGCTGTACCGCAACGTCCACGCGCACGCGTGATCGACGAAGGAGTGAGACGAAGAAGAAAGAAAGAAGAGCGAAAGAAGAACAAGGCGATGTACGAGATTTCAGTCTGTTTGTTGTATTTCAAGTGTGTAAGACCACGTAAGACGCGCGACCGCGGCGGTCGTGCGAGCGCAAAAAATGTAATAAAAAGTGTGTAAAAAGTACGGAAAGTACGAGGTCGTGATAGATACGGTGGGCGGGAATATGAATAGGAATATATAGAATAGCGAGCTAGCGGCGGCCGAGCGACACAATCACGCGGCGCGTCGTCACAGCGCGCTGGAGATCCCCCAGGACACGAGGTACGCCGCCGTCGCCGCGATGGACCCGTTTAACAACATCAACGCCGCCGACCGCGTCGTGCTCTGGTTTGTGAACTTCGCCTTCGCGGCGCCGAGCGCGAGCATCATCAGCGCGGTGAGAACGCACGCGGCGATGAAGTTCGCGTCCGCGCTCGCGCCAGTGACCCCCGCGAGGACGTACGACGTCAGCGGGACGAACCCGAAGCAGACGAACGCGAGAAACGTGACCAAGCCGTTCTTCGCCGGCGATTCGCCGTCGTCGGGGGGCATCAACCCCAACTCCTCGACCATCATGACGTCCAGGAAAAAGTTTGGGTACTTCGCCATGACGTCGATCACGTTCTCCGCGTCCGCTTCCGTCATCCCGCGCGCGACGTACAGCTCGACCATCTCCCGTTTCTCGCCCTCGGGGTAGTTCTGCGCGAGCGGAGGGAGAAGGGAGGAGAGGAGAGCGGCGAACGTCAGTCGGTCAGCCGTCGACGGCGACGGCGACGGCGACGACGCGACGCGACGCGTCTCGTGGGGTACCGCGGGGGGGACGCCGACGGACGAGTTTAATCGAGCGCGGCGCGAGACGCACGTCGAGTTCCCACTTCTCGCGCTTGTGCTCCGCGCGGGTGTACTCGAACTCCGCCTTGGACGAGAGGTAGTCTCCGAATCCCATGGAGAGCCCGTCCGCGACGAGGTTCGCGAACCCCATCAAGAGGATGACGTCGCTCCCGAGCGACCCTCCCACGGACGCGGCGACGACCGCGAACGTCGTGATGATCCCGTCCAGACCGCCGAAGACTAACGACTTGACGTACTTCCCGCTCGCGCCCGCGTGCGCCTCCGCGGAGCCGTGCGCTTTCTTCGCGTCGTGCGCTACCCTGCTCAGGTCGACGTCGAGGGCGTCGTACGCGACCCTCGCGGCGTTCAGGTCGCGCCCGGGGCCGGAGCCCCTCTGACGGACCTCGCTCGCGCTCGCCATGACGCGCGCGAGGGTGTGCGGCGCGCGCGCGACGGCGCGCTCGCGAGATCCGCGCGCGTCGGCGGTTCGGCACCCCGACGACTGACTTTTAGGAGCGGGTGGAATGTTCATCGGTCAGTTGAAAGGGGAAGCGGTCAAATTTTGAAACCGTTGATACCGATAAACGATGGTTTGAAAAAGAAACGCACCGCCTCCACCGCACCGCGAGTGACAGTTGTTCGTTTCGACGCGTCCAACGCTGACTCACGCGTTTTCACGCGTTTCGCGCGCGCCGCGCAGAGCGACCCGCGCGGCCGCGATGGCGTCCACGGCGCGCCACGACGACGTCAAGCTCTGGCTCGGGCACGCGGACGCGAAACCAAGTAACGGCAGCGGGTGGCACACCCCGCGCGTGCCGTCGTACCCCGACGTGCTCGCGGAAGAGAAACCGGCGCCGCCGCCGACATCGTCGGCACCGAATGTTAAAATAACGAACCACGACGACGCGAACGACGACCGACGCGACGACGCGAACGACGTCGACTCGGACGCGTCCGACGACGACGACGACGACGCGTACTGCGCGGGCGCGCGAGACGTCGCGTCCATCGCCGCGCGATGGGTTCTGCATCGCGCGGACCTCATCGTCGGCGCGGTCGTCGGCGCGGTCGCGGTGTGGCTGTACGAATCCGCCGACGCGGACGATTCCGATAACACGTGGCGGTGGGTGATGTTCGCCTCGTGCGTGATCCTCGGGATGTTCATCGCGCGGCACGTCGTCAAGGCGTCGATATGGACGTTAGACAGAGTGCGCAGGAGCACGGTGAGGAAGACGTCGGACGGCGGGCGAACGGACGAGAGGTGGCGGAGCGTGATTTACTTCCTCCACGCGACGCGGCGGCACTCGAAACACTTCCTCTTCGTCGTCGGCGTGACGATCGCGTGGGCGACGCTCATCGAGCCGATACCGTCCATCAGGGACACGGTGTACTCGGACGTCGTGCGAGGTCTCGCCTGCGCGTGCGTCGTCTTCGCGTTCCGGTTAGGGCACAAGATGCTGCTGAAGTATCTCACGTCGCGTCTGCACTCGTCCACGTTTTGGGAGCAGCTGCACAGCACGGTGCGGCACGAGTCCATACTGAAGAAGCTCGCGGGGCCGCCGATACGGCCGCGACCGCGCGCGCGGGTGAAGCCGAAAGCGTCGTGGACGCTCGTGAAGGGCTTCGCCGCGACCAAGGGGAGGTTCGGCTCCTCGAACAAGCTGTCCGGCATGGCGTCCATAGCGCTCGCGGCGAAGGCGGCGCTGTCGCCGAAGAGAGGGCACCGGCGCGGCGGCGGCCACGGTGGCCAGGGCGGGAAGAACGGCCAGGACTCCCCGAACTGGGGGTCGCGGGACGACAGCGACGGCGACGGGCTCGGGACGAGTCTGAACGCGACCGCCGCGAGCACGCCGAGGGAAGGCGCGCGACACCAGCCCCGGACGCTCTCGGCGCCGCGTCCGCCGCCTCCGACGTTCGACGGCGGCGGCCGCGGCGGCGCGCCACCTCCGCACGCGCACGCGCACTTCGCGGACGAGAACCCTCAGCCGCCGCCGCCCGCGAGCGACGCGCGATTGGGGAGGCACTCGCCCGAGCCGAGGGACGACCAGCTCGGCGGGCAGGTCCCGGCGCCGGTCCCCGGTCCCGGGTCGATCACGGACGACGACGCGTCGTCGCTGTCCGACGGCGGGTACGACGCGCCCATAAGCGCCGCCGCCGCCGCCGCCGCGGTCGGGAGCACAGAGCAGGCCGTCGACGCGTCGAAGGTGTCCTTGTCCGTCATCAACGCCGCGGTGAGGCACGTGAAACGAGGACGGCTGTCGCTGCCTTTCCGCATGACCACGCGCGCGGTGAACTCGCTGCACGGCCGCAAGGGGGGGAGCAGAGGCTCGAAAGGCAGAGGGCTTCGCGGCGGCGCGTCGCGGTCGAACGTGCGGCCGACCAGCGGCGCCGGCGGCGGCGTCCTGGGCGCGGACTCCCCCACAGAGCGAGAAGCGGACGAGGCCGCGCGCATGATGTTCACGCACCTGCGAAGAGCGGGCCAGCCGTTCGTGACCCCGGACGCGGTGGGCGATTTCATCGAGGCGGACCAGGTCAAAGAAGCGTTCGATCTCATCGGCGGCGGCGAGTCCGGGGTCGCCGCGCTCGCGGAGAGCAACATCGCGAGCGCGCTGAGGAAGATATACACGGAACGCGAGACGTTCGGGAAGACGTTGTCGGACACGTCGAACCTCGTGAAAAACGTCGGCGTGATGATCGGGTTCGTGATTTACTCCGTCGCGATGTTCGTCTCCCTGGCCATATACCAGGTGGACATCGCGTCGCTGTGGCTCGTCATCTCTAGCGTTCTCGTCGCGTGCGCGTTCGTGTTCGGCACGACCGCGAGCACGATGTTCCGGACGCTCGTGATGATATTCGTGACGAATCCGTTCACGGTCGGGGACTGGATTCGACTCGGCGACGACACGACGGCGTGGAGAGTGCGAGAGCTCGGCTTGAACTTCTTCGACGTCGTAAACTTCTGGGGCGAGGTCATCTTCGTGCCCGCGTCGACGGTGTTAGAGAGCAAGGTTTTCAACCTCTCGCGGTCGCCGCCGCTGTGGATGCGGACGCTTCTCACCGTGGACATCGGCATCCACGCCGCGGACGTGGATTACATCGAGAAGGTCATGTCCACGCACATCGACAGCGACGTCGTCAACTACACCCCGGGGTCGTTCGAGATCTTCTGCCGCGAGATACAAGACCCGCTCAAGGTGCAGCTCGTGATGTTCTATCAGCTCGCGTTCAACGCGAGCGAGTTCACGAAGAAGCTCAAGGCGAACAACCGGTTCCTGCTCGTGCTTCAACGCGCGCTCATGGACGGCCCGAGCTTCACGTTCGCCGGGACGGACGGGCAAATTTTCAAAGCCGAGGCGCTCAAGTCGGAGGAAATCGACCGACCGCATCGGTCCGACGCGGGGAAGAGCGTCCTCGGCGGCGGCGGCGGCGGCAGCGGCGACGGCGGCGCGCGCGGCTCGAGCCTCGAGCGCGTCGGCGAGAGCGAGATCCCGACGAGAGCGGCGGCCGGGAGCGACGCCGCGGGGGGCGAAGACGAAAGCGGAAACGAAAACGTAAACGACGCCTCGCGCCCGCTCGGGATTCGGAAACGGCACTCGCGGACGGCGCGGTTCCGCATCCCGGGGCGGATTCGTCACTACAGCGGGATGCTTCGCGACATGAAGCACGAGGTGCACTTCGACGCGACCGAGCCCGCGAGCGACGGGATCGACGGGAAGAAAACGTCGTGACGACGACGCGCGCGCTCTACTGCACCTAATTTCTATCGCAACCGCGTCTACGAATCACAACCGCGTGCACGTGAGGTCCAAATCGTCCGGGGCGACCCTCCCGAGCCACCCCGCGAGCGCCCGCTTCGCGACGACCGGCTCCGGTGCGAGCAGCTCGTACATCGAACACAAGTTCGTCGCGAGCGACTCCTTCTGCGCGTTCGCGGTGACGTCCGTCGTCATCGCGCGCTCTAAAACCTTCACCCCGCCCGCGAGGTCGCCGACGTACACGTGCGCCACCGCGAGGTTATTCGCCGCGTTCGGGTCCCTCGGCGAAACGCGCAGCGCGTCTTCGAAGTGCTTCTTCCCCGTCGCGTACTCCTTCGTCGCGAACGCGAGCAGCCCCGCGTCGATGGCTCTCTGCGCGCGCGTGTAGTCGTACCCGTCGTCGTCGTCGCGCGGCTCATCATCCGGTCCCGCCGCCGCCGCCGCCGCGTCGAAGCACATCCGCGCGCCGTCGACGTCGCCCAAGTGCAGATGCACGCGGCCGGCGAGGGAGAGGACGACGGCGCGCTCCGCGGTGGACGCGCACCGCCGCGCGAGCCAGTCCAACCGCGCGAGCGCCGCGAGGTGGTCCTTCGCGCCGAGGTGGAGGTTCACCGCGGCGTGCAGCGCGCAGTCTCGTCGACGCGACCACCGCGTTTTTTCATCTTCGTCCGCGGCGGCGTTCGCCTCGCGCGAGCAGCGCTCCGCGAGCGCGTAGTGCGCGTCCAGGGACTCGCTCATCCTCCCCAACAGCCGCGGCAGGTCCGCGCGGATCAACCGCAGCGCGAACGGCGTCGCGCAGCTCCCGTCCGCGTTCGTGTTGTACCTCGGGTCGTCCAAGTCCCCGAGCGCGCGCATCTCTTCGCTCGCCGCCGCGTGCGATCGAAGCTTCACCAGCGACGCGATCTGGTACGTCTTCGCCGCGAGCCACTGCGGCGAGCCCGCGCCCGGGGAGCTCCCCGGGGTGAGCAGGAAGTGCTTCGTCTTGTCCAGGACGAGCCGCCACGCGCCCTGACGCGCGAGCGCGTGCGTCGCGACGAGGTCCCCCGGACGCACCGACGACGGCGGGATCGGCGTGAACGTCATCGCGCCGGGCGCGCGCTCGAACACCGCGGAGGGTCGCCACGCCGGGGGCGGCGGGGGCGGCGCGGGCGGACGCGCGGGAGGCGGCGCGGGCGCGGGCGCGGGCGCGGCGTGGGGCGGCGCCGACGCCGCGGCGTCATGATGATGAGGAGGAGGGAACGCCGGCGGGGGAGGAGGAGGACCCGCGCGCGTCGGGGGAGGACCCATCGGCGGTGGCGCCGCCGCCGCCGCCGCGGTCGGCGGCGGAGGGCCCATCGGCGGAGGATCCACCGGGACCGGCTCGCGAGGCGGGGGGGCGCCAGCCCCGGGAGGGGGCGCGCCGTCCATCGCGGCGCGTGCGGACTGAGTCGACGCGCGAGCTGCGAGCGCTGTTGAACCGCCGGGGAGAAAAACTGGCAGGAAAAGAAACCTACACGCGCTACGAGCAGAAAGCGAAATATAACTGGTATCGAAGCATGTACCGACACGCGATTGGTCGAGACGGCAATCTGAAGTGGCGTGCCGAGATGATGTGTAGCGCTCCGCTTCTCGGAGTCGTCGTTTCCCGTCGACGCGCGCGTCGTTCCGGCATTGCATCACACACGATGGCTGCTATCTCCTGCTCCTCCGTTTTCGCGGTCGCCCCGCGCGCCGTCGTGCGCGCGAAGAAGACCGTGCGCACCCAGTTCGCGGGCGCCACGAAGGCGTTCGCGCCGCTCGGGTACGTCGACGTCGATCCGCTCCGTTCGGGATTTTATTTTTTTCGAGCCGCGAGGAGATATAAACACCGTGGCGCGATGACGTCGACGCCGCGGTCGAAGATCGCGGCGTCGGCCGTCGTCATCGAGCGTCGACGGCATCGCGCGACTCGCGCGCGCGATGCCCGTCGCAGTGATGTCGATTATATCGCGTTTTTAGCCGTCGAGGTCGCTCGCGCGCGCCGCGCGCGCGACGATCCGAGCGCCATCTTAGGGCTCGTGCGCGCGAGAGGGCGATGTGGATAAAAGGGAGGGGGCGAACGGGCGGAGGGGCGGGGAAGGGCGAACGGCGACGCTCGGTCCCGCTCGCGTCGCGCGCGCTCGCTCCCGAACTATCCTCGCGTCCTTCCCGCGCGGTCGAGAGACCCGGAGAGACGGCGCCGCGGCCGCGACGCGCGCGCGATCGCGCGCCCAGATCGACAAGATCGCGCGATCGATCGCATCGTCGACGTCACGAACGCAACTCAATCATCGATCGTCCCCTCCGACGAATCCTGACCTCCTCCTCCCCCACCCCTCTAAAAAAACCCCCCGTGGCGCCATCCTCGACAGCGTGACCACCCCCAAGTCCCGCGGCAGCCTCCAGGTCGTCGCCAGCGTCACGAAGAAGCCGGACCTCTCCGACCCCGTCCTTCGCGCGAAGCTCGCGAAGGGCATGGGCCACAACTACTACGGCGAGCCCGCGTGGCCCAACGACCTTCTCTACATCTTCCCGGTCGTCATCCTCGGCACGATCGCGCTGTCCATCGGCCTCGCGGTGATGGAGCCCACGATGCTCGGCGAGCCCGCGGACCCGTTCGCGACCCCGCTCGAGATTCTCCCGGAGTGGTACTTCTTCCCGACGTTCAACGCGCTTCGCGTGATCCCGAACAAGCTCCTCGGCGTGCTCTCCATGGCCGCGGTGCCCGTCGGCCTCATCACCGTGCCGTTCCTCGAGTCGATCAACAAGTTCCAGAACCCGTTCCGCCGCCCGGTGGCGACGTCCGTGTTCCTCATCGGCACGTTCTACGCGATCTGGATGGGTATCGGCGCGACCATGCCGATCGACAAGGCGATCTCCCTCGGCGTCTTCTAAATGTTTTGCCACGGATTTTGGACGCCGGCGGGGAGAAAGCGAAACCCCGACGGCGTTGTATGTGGGTGTGGGGAGTTGAATCGTTGAGAAGGAACGAGCGATCGCGGAGGTGAGATGGAGTCGGACTCTTAGAGTGATGGCTGTGTAGACGTCCGCGGCCGAGGTCGGTCTTTTTAACGCCAGGCTCAAATTGATTTTCTAACTGAGCGATCCGTTCTGTTCCCGACGCGACCGCTGGCCTTCCCGAGGCGGGCCGGTTTTCGCCGCGACCGTCCGCTCCCCGCGCTCCACTCTCCTCGCGCTCCCGCGCGCGCGCGACCGAGCATGCGCGACCTCGCGTCGCCCCCCTCGAGCCCGCTCCCCGTCTCCGCGCGCGCCCAGCCCGCGTCGACGAACGCCGCCGCCGCCGCGCGCGCCGGCGGCCTCGTCACCCGCCGCGCCACGCGGCGACGCGACGGCCAACTCTCCGTCCTCACCTGGAACGTCCAGCTCCTCCCCGGCAAACTCCCCGGGCAGGCGGGCACCGCGAAGCACCTGCTGATACGCGCGGCGAGCATCGCGCGGCAGATCAACGCGCTCGCGAGCGACGTGGACGTGATCGCGCTGCAGGAGGCGTGGCACGCGCCGTCGAGGGAGGTGATACTCGAGACGACGCGTCGGTTTTTTCCGCACGCGCACGCTCCCGACGACGCGCGCTGCGGTCTCGTGCTGCTGTCCGCGCGCGAATTTCCGCACGCGCGCGCGACGTTCGCGCCGTTCAAGGCGAAGAGTGGGATCGAGGGGTGGTGGTTCGATAAGGGCGTGACCGCGACGACGCTGGAGACGCGAGGCGGGAAGCGCGTCGTCGTGCTGAACGCGCACCTGCAGAGCGATTTTTGGCAGCCGCGCGCGGAGACTCGCGCGAAGCAGTTCCCGGAGATCGTGGACGCCCTCGCCGACGCGGTGCGCGCGGGCGGCGGAGAAGACGGCGTGGACGCCGCGCTGCTGTGCGGGGATCTGAACGTCGCCGCGGGCTCGGAGGAGTACCGCGCGATGATGAAAGCGCTGAGCGGCGGACGGGAACGCGGCGCCGCAGATCTGTTCGAACGCCGCCGCGGCCGCGGACGCGACGGCGACCGCGACCGCGACGCGGACGCGCACGAGCGCGAGCGGCACACGTTCCCGATCGCGCGGTGGAAGCACAGGCGGTGGTGGCAGCGCGGGAGCGGGAAGAAGAGCGCGTACGTCCGCGAGACGCCGGTGAAGCGTCTGGACTACGTCGTCGACCTCACGCGCCTCGTCCGCGGCGGCGGCGGCGGCGGCGGCGGCGGCGGAGGCGGCGGCGGCGAGGACGAAGATGAGGAAGAAGAGAGAGGACGAGGACGCGCGGAGGTGATCGACGGCATCGCGGATGATCGCGGCGCGCCGCTGAGCGATCACGCGTGCGTCATCGCGGTCGTGTCCGTGTGATCGTTCGATCGCTTTCGTTTCAGCGCGTCGGCGTCGTCGCCGTCGTCGTCTTTTTCTTCAGTTTGTTCTTCCTTCCAGTCGCGCGCGTCGCGCGCCGAGTACGCGTACTCGTATTCGTCCGTCCGTCTCTGTGTTCTCCTCTCGTCCCCGCAGCCAGCTCACGCCGCGCCGCCGACGGCCGCCGCCGCGACCCCCGGCCCGTGCTTCTCCAGCGGCATCGACGCGGCGGCGATGTGGTACTTCTCCCCCGCGTGGTGCAACGCCGCGGCGTCCTTCACCGGCGCGTCCGAGAACTGCGAGACGCGCGTCACGAGGATCTGCGGGATCTGCTTCTTGCGGTACATGAACGCCTTCCCGGTGACGTACGCGTAGTTTCGACCGCCTCTGGAGTATCGTCGCTCGATCAGCGCTTTGATCTTCTCCGATTCCTCCGAGAACGCGTGATCGAGCCACAGGTTGAACGGGAAGGCCTTCGGCCCGGCGTGGATCACCGTGCCCGTCCTCGGGCGGTTCTGTTCGTCCGCGTACTCCACGTTCCGCATCACGCCGAGCATCAGGAACGCGTCCTTGGGCTGCAAGTCCACGAGCACGGTGATCGTCTCCCCGTCCACCGCGGCCTTGACGAGCTGCTCGTGGTGCACGCGCGGGACGAGGACGTGCCTCGCCACGCCCTCGCGTTGCCACCGCCTGAAATCCTCGACGATCCCCTCGCGCGTGCTCCACCACGGCAGCAGCTGCGTGTAGTTCCGCACGTAGTCGCTCACGGGGACGGACCTCTCGCCGACGGCGTTCATGATCCCCCACAGCCCGGTCTCATCGGACATGGCGTTTTGCTCCGCCTGAAGAAACTCCGCGTGGTACAGCCGGGAGCGGCCGTACTTGGTGAAGTACGGCGATCTCCCGGCGCGGACGACGGCGAGGGACAGGTTCTCTCCCACGGGGCGTCCGCCCACGTGCACGTACGCGAGCATCCTGCCGTAATTCTCCTCGTTGTGTCTGCGGCAGCCGATGATTGTCGGCTCCGTGGTGTCGAACTCGATGTCGCACGAGATGGGCGCGGAGGGTCGCGGTCGGCCGTCGTGTTTCACGCCGAGGTGTTCTTTCAGCCACGCGTCGGCTTCGCGGCCGCCGTAGGTGATGGGCTTGTAGTGCCTGGACGTGCCGCGCGGGATGCTGCTCTCCTCGGTGTCCACGCACATCAGGCGGACGGTGACTTCTTCCCAGTCCTGCGGGAGAGGTTGTGAGCGAGGCGTTTACGTTTTCGCGGAAGAAACAGGCCGGAAGCTGCCGTAAAAAGCGGCGACGACGCGGACCGGAAGCGCGTCCGCGCTCATGTCGCGTCGGTACGCGTGGGGTATCGCCGCCGCGGCGTCGACGAGACCGTCGCGTACCTCTTCGGACGGGCCGCGGAGGGGCGCGGTCGCGCTCGTGGGGCGCGCGAGCCAGCCCCCCGAGGGTTTCGGCGCCCACCCGAGAGGGTTGAGGAGAACCTTCAGCGTCTTTCCGTCGACGACGCACTTGACGAGGCAGTCGCGGATGATCGCGCCGCGGAAGAGGTCGGCCATCGCGGCGAGCGCGTGGGAGATATCGCGTGGGGTTGGCGGGTGGACGTGCAGGTCGCGCGGCGCGGTGCGGCGTCGGTCTGCGCGAGGAGGAGGAGGACGGGAAGTTTTCGTCGTAGCTTTTTCCAGGCTTTTTCGCGCTCCGCTCGCGATCTGATTTTTTTGAAGCGGGGTCGCGTCATAGTTTGAACCGCGCCGCCGCCGCGCCCGTGGGCACAGCACGCCGCCGCGGGCACAGCACGCCGCGGGCACCATGCCTCTTAAGGCTCACGAGATCAATAAGCGGATCAAGAGGGCCAAGCGCGGGTGCGCGGAGTCCGCATGGGCCCTGTACGAGCACTTCGAAGTCGAGTTCCCCAGAGAAGCGTTTGACGACCCGGAGCGAAAGTCGTATCTAGAGCTCGCCGCCGACAACGGACACGTCCACGCGCAATCGATTGTGAGTGAGTTCCGCTTCCGTGAGGGTATTCTGGGTGTGTCCGTTACGAATGTTCCTCTGTCCGCGGAGCAAAGCGAATCGAAGGTGAAGGAGGCGGTCGCTTGGTGTCTGAAGGTGGTAAACAACGAACGTGAGTTCGGGGAAGACGAGAAGGGTTTCAAGCTCTCAGCCTCTCACAGGCTGGGGATAATCTACTCCCAGGGCTTGGGAGGCGTGGAGCAAAACCTCGAGACTGCGTTTAAGTGGTTCAAGAAGGGGATGTGTACGGACGGAGACTACTTGACTGTGGACGTACAGAACAACTGCCAGCTCGCCCGCATGTATTGGGACGGCGAGGGTTGCGAAAAAGACGTCGTCGCCGCGGAGCGTCACTGGGTCCAAGCCGTGGAAACGTTCGACTATATGAAAGATGATTTAGGTAAGGTCGGCAGCTTAACAGCGGTGCCCATTACTGAAGCTCACGAAGACTCCAAGGAGAGGCTCGCGCAGCTCCGCGCGTCGAAGACGATCCTCATCAACGCCATCAACCGCGAATCCGACCTTCGATACGCCGCCGACGAACTCGAGGCGTTCGTGAACGCGACGTGCGAAGATCACACCGCGAGGGACACCCTGCATCACGTCGCGCGGTGCGTCATGCACGGCCGGTGCGGCCTGAAGAAGAACCTCAGGCTCGCGAAGGACCTCATGAAAGCGTGCGTCCGGAACGACCCGTCGAACGAAGACGCGGAGAAAGATCTGGAGTCGATGCGTCGGTGCGTGACGTGCGGCACGCATTCGCGGCGCACGTGCGAGCTGTGCATGGGCCCGAACTACTGCTGCAAAGACTGCCAGCGGCACGACTGGAAGGTGGGCAGGGGCGGGGACGGGGACGGGGACGATCGCCACGAGCTGACGTGCCCGAGGCACATCACCGCGATGCCCCCGAGCGCGTTCGCGGTGAACCGAACGGAGTCGAGGACGGGGGGCGGCGGGAACATCGCGCGGCGGTTACCGGGCGCGCGGCTGTCCGACCTGTTCGAAGCGGAGTACAACGAGTGAGTGAACGACGCGAGGCGGGATGGGAGGGACGGCGATGCGACGCGACGCGAACGAGGACGAGGACGAGGACGAAGACGAAGCGAAGTAGTAGATAGAGAATAATACGTACGATGCGATATCGATATCATCCGCGTTTCGCTGACCTTATTGAAATAACACCCCCCCCAGTACGACGGCCACCACCGGCACGGAGATGTTGTCGTCCAGGAACGACCCCGCCGGCAGCGCCTCGATCGCGGTGCACGCCGCCGCGATCAGCGCGAGCCTCCCCGCCGCCGATCCCGGGTCCACGGACATGTACCCGAGCGCGTGGAAGAACGCGCACAGGGCGAGGGACAGACCGAACCCGCCTAAAAACATAGCCGCGCTCCCCGCGTACGACTTGTCCGCGTTGAACGGCAGCGGGTTCCCCTTCCCGAGCCTCCGACCGACGATGTCCGCGAGGCCGTCGCCGCCGCACATGAGCGACAGCGCGGCGATCCCGGACGGCGAGCCGCGCCAGAACACCGCGGTGCACACGACGAGGACCGCGGTGTAGTACAGCGGCCCGCGAAGCAGCTCCGTGCGGTCGCCCTCTCGAGACACCGCGCGAATCGCGTCTTCGTTTTCGATCGCCCCGACGCCGATGGCCATCAGACGTATCCCTTGCAACACCGGCACCGCCGCGGCGAAGTACTTCGCGCTCGGCGACGCGCTGAACAGCGGCCACAGCAGCACGAAGAACGGGCCGCACGACGTGTGGATGAGCTTTCTGGACAGCTTGCGTTCGAGGACGTCGTTGGACGCGAGCACGTCGAAGAGTTTCACCCAGAGGTACGCGCCCACCGCGGCGGCGAGCGCGGCGATCGCGTCTCGCCGCGTCCCGTCGCCGAGGACCGCGTCGAGGTTCGCGACGACGGCGTCGAGCGGGACCGCGCGCGGAGGTGCGACGCGGCCGCCGCGGCCTCCTCCTCCTCCTCCTCCTCCTCCTCCTCCCGCGCCGCGATGCGAACTTCGACGCGCGAGGAGGTCGCTCTCCGGGTGCCGATGCGCGAGGCACGCCGCGCTGACGCACACGCCGACGCAGCACGCGACGACGCGGCCGCGCGCGGCGGCGACGCTGAGGTACTGACCCCGCGGACGCGGACGCGGCGGCGGCGACGCGCGGTGGCGATGGTGACGCGGCGAGCGACGACGCGCCGCGGACGCGGACGCGGACGCGACGCCGGTCGTCGTCGTCGACATCTTTCCCGCGATCGCGCTCGCGATCGTCGCGCGGGCGTCCGTCTCTCGCCGCGCGATGCGCCGCGCGAGCGCTCGACTCGCGAGTGCGTCGACGCGCGCGTCGGTCGCGCGTCTCGCTCCGGTCGACCTCGGCGGGCGAGCGACGCGACGAACGTGACGACGTCGCGCGCTATGATGATATCCATCCCAGCCACCTCGGAGACGACGAGACCTGCGTGAGATCTTCGAGAGGATATTCCGCGTTCTTCTCTCCCGCCACAAACGCGCGCACGATGCCGCCGCGCACGTTGCGCCGCGTCCCGTCGAACCCGACGATCATGTCGTGGTTCGAGGACGAGCGCGCGAAGGTCTCCTTCGCGCGGACGATGCGGACGTTCAGCACGATGCCCGCGGAGTTCGCCCGCGCGCACCTCACCGCGCGCGGGGTGAACGTCGACGAGAACGCGTCCGCGGCCGAGCTCCGAGGGCGGCTCCTCAGGGCGCTCTCGGACGAGGTCTTCGCGGAGCACCATCGCGGGCGAAAGGACATCATCGCGAGGTGTGAGCCCGCGGCGCCGCCGGAGACGGTCACCGGCGACGACATGCGCGCGCACCTCGCGACCGTGCACGGCGCGAGCGTCGACCATCAGACGATGAACGAGCGCGCGACGGACGAGGACGAGGTCAGGCGGGTGTACGAGCTGGTGACGTCAGGGCGGCTCGACCCGGAACCGCTCAAACACGGACGGCGCTTCGAGATCATCGACGCGGTCGTCGACTGGCCGCTGGTGGTCATGCTCTCCGCGGTCACGAAGGACACGGACGTCGGCGAGGACTTCGTGAAGCCGTGGCACGAGGCGGCGGCGGAGGGGCACGAGGCCACCCGGCGACATCTCTCGCGCGCCGTCAATCTCGCCGCCGAGCGCGCGGCGAGAGGGACGAAGCACTTCTACGAGCAGACCCCGGAGGAGATCCGCGCGGCGCGGCGAGCGTCGTACGCTCATAGCCCGCGGTGCGAGAGCATGACGATCGCGGGCGTGAAGTGCGCGGTGTTTCGCCCGGACCCGAAGGCGTGGTTCAAAGTCCCGTTTAAAGGGTACTCGCCGCGGGGAATATACCTTTTGTTTCACGGCGGCGGGTGGGTCTTCGGCGACGCGCACGGGCAAAACGACCAGAGGCTAGAGACGATGGCGGACGAGCTCGGGATCGTGGTCATCGTCCCGGACTATCGCAAGGCCCCGGAGCATCCGTACCCCGCGCCGCTGGACGACTGCGAGGCGGTGGCGAAGTGGGTGGAGGAGAACGGCGAGACTTGGTTTCGCGACGCCGACGACGACGGCCGCCGGCCGTTCATGCTCATCATGGGCGGCGAGTCCGCGGGCGCGAACTTGTGCGCGTGCACGCTCTTCAGGAGAAGAGACGCCGACGTGAGGCGGCGGATACGCGCCGCGAAGGACGCCGCGGGGAGCATGCGGGATCTCATGACGCGCGGGAGCCCGGACGGCCAGGTGAACTTTGAGTTGGACGAGGCGACGAAGGAGGTGTACGTCCAGCTCGCGAGAGGGTCGTGCTGCTGGAAGCTCGTAAACTTGGTGTACGGGATATACGACTTGAACGGGACGCCGTCGGTGAAGGCGTTCGGGGAGAGGAGGCTCGTGGAGACGGCGAAAGACTTGGCGTTTTTCGCGGACTGCTACTGCCCGAACGAGAAGAAGCGATCGGACCCGGACGTGTCGCCGCTCAACGTCGAGGACGAGTGGTTGGCGCAGTTCCCGCTCCCGCCCGCGATCTTCACCGTCGGCACCGAGGACGCGCTGTTAGACGACACGCTGTTGATGTACAGGAAGTGGCGAGACGCGGGGCACGACGCCATCTTAGACGTGTGGCCGGACGCCCCTCACGGCGTGGGTCACTTTGGCGCGCACGAGAGCACGGCGCTCGGGGTGGCGTGCCTGAGGAAAATTCACCTCTCGTTCGTGGGGTACATCGAGCAGTTCCGGAGGCACGGCGTCGCGCGCCATCCGGACGACGAGGGCGAAATAGAGCCGCGGCCGGTGAAGAACGAGTACGGGGAGTACCCGAAGCGTCCCATCGTGAACCCGGAATTTGCCGCGTTCAGCGAGAGGGATCTTATGAAGTCGACGCTGTTCGGAGGCGACGGGAACGGCTCGACCTTCAGGCCCGGGAGGGATAAGCACGACGGGCCGATGATCCCCCAGATGGTCCCCGACATAGATTAGACCACTCTAGCTAGATATATTCGTAGTAGTCTACAACTTGGTGTTGTAGACGTGAAGACGCGTTCGTAGAAATCGTAGAAAAGCGCTATTCGCCGTCCGTCCGTCGTTCTTTCGTCGTTCACGCCGTCGCCGCCGCCTCGTCTTCCGCCTTCCGCGACCCCCTCTCCGCGTCGACCGTCGCCGCCGATTCCGAGGACGACGGCATCCGCGCGACGAACGACACGACGCGCATCCCCGGGTCGCCGCCGGTCGCGCCGCCGCCGCCGCCGTCGTCATCCCCGGGCCGCGCGTGCGTCAGCGCCATCGCGCTCGCGAGCGGCGGGTCCGGGATCCCGCCGTCCGCCGCGCTCGCGCACTCGCGCCAGTGCTTCGGGAGCTCGCGCGTCTTGCCCTTCCCGTCGCCGCCGCCGCCGGTGCGCAGAACCTCCACGGTGTTGCAGACCGTGCGCTCGTCGAACCGGAACAAATCGCGAAGCTCCTCCTTGGACAGGGACATCTTCCCGGCGCCGCCGCCGCCGCCGCCGCCGCCGCCGTCGCCGTCGCCGCCGCGTTTGTTCACGGACGCCATCCCCATCGCGTCCGCGACGTCCCCCTTCAAGATCTGCCTCTGGAACACCCTCTCCTCTACCGTCCCCGTGGACACGAGCCGGTAGATGGTCACCGGGCGCTTCTGCCCTTCCCGCCACACGCGCGCGAGCGCCTGGAGATCGTTCGCGGGGTTCCAGTCCGAGTCGAACAACACCAGCCGGTTCGCGCCGACGAGGTTCAGCCCGACGCCGCCGGCTTTACACGACAACAGGAACACGTCGCCGCCCTTGCCGTCGTTGAACTTGTTCACGATCGCGCCTCGCAGGTTCGGCGCGACGCTCCCGTCGAGCCGCGACGATACCTTCCCGCCGACGCCCGCGGCGCTCAACGCCGCCGCGATCAAGTCCAGCGTGGACGTGAACCCCGAGACGACGACCGTCTTGTCCACCCCCGGGGTCGTCGCCCGCAGCATCGTCAACAACACCGCGAGCTTTCCGGAGAAGGAAGGCGACAGCGCGTCCGCGGTCGCGTCGAACGGATCGTCGTACCCGCGCGGGACTCGCGCCCTGAGAGCGCGGATATCCTCCTCGGCGTCGTTTTCGTCGACGACGTCCCCGCCGCCGCCGCCGCCGCCGCTCGCTAACAGCCGCGCGCTGTTGCACAACCGCTGGAGCTTCTGTAACGCCGTCAGCGGGCTTCCTTTACCCCCCAGCGCGCCTCTCACCGCGGCAGTCTTCAACAGGGCGCCGTACAGCGCCGCCTGCGTCGGAGACAACCGAACGAACACGACGTACTCCGTCTTCGGCGGCAGTCCGTGACGCGCGTTCACCTCCGACGCGGACGCTCGGTGGACGTACTCGCGCGTCATCCTCGCGAGCTCTTCGCCGCGCGCGGCGCCGATCGTTCGCTCATCCGCGCTCGCGCGCTTATCTCGCGACCGCTCGATCGGCCCCGAGAAGATCTTCTTGAACGGCCCTAAATCCCCGAGCAGCCCCGGGCACGCGAAGTCCATGAGACCAAAGTATTCCGTGAGATCGTTTTGAATCGGCGTCCCCGACAGCAACACGCGGCGATTACACTTCAGCGCGCGCAACGCCGCGACCGTCAGCGTGTCCCCTTTCGCGTTCTTCAGCCGATGCGCTTCGTCGCACACGAGAAGGTCCACGCCGCCGCTCTCGATCTTCGACGCGTACGACCGCAGCGTCTCGTACGACGTCACCAGCACGGCGTATCGCTTCTGATGCGCCAACGCCCAGTCGTCGAACAGCGACTTCGCGTCTTTGTCCCCGCCCTCGACGAGCAGCGGCGCGAGCCGCGTCTGCCCGAGCCACTTCTTCATCTCCGCGCCCCAGTTCGAGACCAAGCTCGCGGGGCACGCGATGACGGCTTTCTTCACCATCGGGGTCCCGCGCGGGCCTTGCTTCAGAAGCGTCCACAGCAGCGCGATGACTTGGAGCGTCTTCCCCATGCCCATCTCGTGCGCGAGGAGGCACCCGCGGTGCCCTCCCGCGCGTCTTCCGGAGACGCACTCGAACATGAATCGCACGCCGTCCCTCTGGTGCGGTCGCAAGGACGCGCCGAGGATCGGGTCCACGACGACGGCGGTGGACGCGGGCCCGAACCCGGGGAAAACGTCGCCGGGGGACGACAACAGCGTCGCGCCCTCGCGCGCGGGGTCGTGCAGCGGCGGTCGCGCCGCGGGGGTGTGCGCCGCGGACGCGCCGCCGGGCGCGGTCGCGCGCGAGTCGTCTCCCGGGGCGCCCATCTTTATCGGCCGGAACGCCGCCGTGCGCCCGCGCGGCGCCGAGAGCGACGACGGAAGCGCGCCCCCGCCGCCGCCGCCGCCGCCGCCGCCGCCGCCGCCGAGGAGCGCCTTGCCGGACTGGTAGTCGCTCTCCGAGATCGCGTCCGCGACCTCGACGTTCCAGTTCCCGATGTCCATCTCCGTCCCGACGACGCACGTACCCGCCCTGGACTTCGTCAACGCTTTCCCGGTCTCGTCCAACAGCGTCGTGAACGGGGGCTCGTACACGCAGATGCCGTCCAGCCACGACTTCGACGAGCGATTCTTCGCAGCCTTTCGCTTCGCGTAGAGGCACGAGAAGTACGCCTTCGTCGTCGTCGAGGTCGACGTCGACGGCGGCGCGGACGCGGACGACGGCGCGGAGGGCGCCGGTCGCGCGGGCGCGGGCGCGCGCGCGACCGGGGCCGCGAACGGTGCGCGGAACGCGGTGCCCGCGCCAGATCCTCCTCCGGCGGTTTTCATCGGAGGACGGAACGCGGCGGCCTTCGTCGGAGGACGGAAGCCGGCGCCCGGGGGGCGGAACGGCATCACGCCCGCGGGGGGGCGGGTCGGGTTGAGGTTCGCCTTCGGCGAGAGCGGCGCCCGCGGCGCCGCGGCGGCATCCTCCTCGGCCGCGCGCTTCATACTGCGAGACAGCGAGATCTCACCTGTCGCCTTCGGCGTTTCAAAACAGAGCGACAGGAACAGAAGTGTCACTGCAGTGCTGGCGGAGCTGTCCGTCGCGGACGCGGAGGGTTGGAGAACGCCGTGTTCCTCGCTATTCTATCGCTATCTATCAACTACATAATCAACCGTGCAACCAGCCGCTCCCCTCGCCGCTGTCGCCGCCGTCGCTATCGCCGTCCTCGTCCTCGTCCTCGTCCTCGTCCGTTTCCCCCTCGAACTCGCTCGAGAGGCTGAGCAACACGGACTCGGAGTCGTCGTCGTCGTCGTCGTCGTCGTCGTCGTCGTCGTCCGAGTCGGAGTCGTCAGATTCGCCTTCGTCTTCGGAGTCGACGACGACGTACACGCCGCCTTCTTCATCGTCGCCGCCTTCGCCGTCCTCGTCATCGTCCTCGAAGTCTTCCTCCTCCTCGCCGGACCCGTCGCCGTCGTCGGGACTCCACGCTTCCTCGTCGTCCTCCTCGTCGTCGTCTCCGTCGTCTTCGCCGGAGCCGTCTTCGTCGCGCGCCGTGAACGCGCCTCGAACCCTCCGCCCGAGCCCCCCCAGGAGCGCGCGCAGTCCCGCGAGCGATTCCAAATCCCCCTCGATCTCGCCGACGTCGTCGTCGTCGTCGTCGTCGTCGTCGCGATCCATCGCCGCGAGCTCGAGCTCGCTGATCTCCGAGTCGGAGTCGACGCCTTCGCCAAACTGTGCTTCGTCCGCGTCCTCCGCGTCGCTGTCCTCCTCCCCGGGCCGCATGCGTCCGACTTCGTGTATGCGCACGACGCTGTCGTGCGTGTCCGCGGCGTCGTATTCCACGGTCGCGCACAGCGCGTCCGTGCCGTGGTCCCAGCAGCAGTCCAGAAGCGACCGTTCAATCTCCGTCGTCGTGATTTCGGAGTAATCGCTCGCGTCCACGGTTCGAAACGCGCACCGAAGCGGGTGCTTCGTGCGTCGTAACGTCGTCGATATCGGGTCTTCTTTCGGAAGACGAAAAGACGCGACCGCGACGTCCCCGGTTCCGGTCCAGCACAGCTGCGTCCCGTCCAACCCCGGGACGCTTCTCAGCAACCGATCCGAGCGCAGATCCCAAACCTCGCTGTTCACGACGACCTCGTTCCCGCTCGGGTGGAAGCTCGCGCCGCCGCCGTCGCTGAATCGATCGAACCTTCGAACCGGATTCGGCAGCCTCGAGTCCCACAGGAGGTGACCCCACAGGAGTAACCCGCCGTCCCCGGGGGAGAAGCACACGTCCGCGGATCGCGCGGCGTACGGCAAACGCGGTGCGGGCGCGTCCGGCGACGCCCGCGGCGGCGTCGGCGTGAGCGTCGCGACGACGTCCGACGTCGCGACGTCGATGAGACGCACCGTACCGACGAGGTCTTCGCCCACGACCGCGAGCTTCGTCGCGTTCGCGCCGAACGCGCCGCCGCAAGACCCTTCGAACGTGGCCGTCGGGCCGTGGCCCATGTTGCTCACGTCCCAGAGCTGAACCTCCGTGGCGCCGCACGAGATCGCGAGCGACTTCGCGCACGTCTTGTCGCTCGTTCGCAGCGTTCGAATCGGACCGCCGTGGCCGCCGTCGTGGACTTCGATGATGTCGCCGTTCATGACGTCGAACAAGCGAAGTTCGCCCTCGTGCGAGCCCGCGAGGACGCGGTCGCCGTCGCCGCCGACGAACGCCGCGCACGTCATCATCGCGGAATCGTCGCGCATCGACCGCACGGGGCGGAATCGACCAAAGACGAAGTGCCGATCCCGGGCGCGGCCGCCGACGCCTCCCCGGGTGTGCCCGAGCAGCCACTCTCTGCGCGCGAGCCTGGTGGACAAATTCTTCGGCGCGGAGAGCGGATGCGTCGGATGCGGACAGCTGTGCGTCTCCGTCAGCGAGAACGGCGCGCACACGGAGATCGGGTAGTGGCACTGCCTGTGCTGCGCGCGCAGGTACGACGTCACGATGGAATCCAAACGGCTCTTCACGCCGCACCCTGGTCGGTCGCCGTGCGCGTGGAAGTGCATGTGCGTGAGCGCGTTCCCGCGGTCGCCGCCGTAGCAGCTCCCGGCGCCGGCGCCGGCGAGGAGGCCCATCGCGGAGGACGGGCGCGGCGGCGGCGTGGGCGTCGCGAGCACGACCGCGACCGCGGCGGGATTTTTTTCCTCCGTCTTCGTCTTCGTCTTCGTCTTCGTCGACGACGGCGGCGCCAATTTCGGTTTCGGTTTCGGTTTCTCCTCCGCGGGCGTCGCCGCCTTGCGCTTGGACCCGCGCGTTTGCTTCGCCGCGCTCGCCGCCTTCTTCGACGTCATCTTCCCCGTCGCCTTCGTCGGTCTCTCCGTCGCCGTCTCGGGCGCTGGCGTGGACGCGCTCGTCCGCCTCGACCGACGCGGCGGCGGCGACGGCGCCGGCGCCGCGCTCGTCTTCTTCTCGTCCTCCCGCTTCGTCGCCTTCGCGCGCTTCGCGGACGGCGTCGCGCTCGGCGGCGGCGGCGGCGGCGGTCTCATCGACTCCCCCGGCGCCGCCGGGGTCGTCGTCTCCACTCGAACGACGCCCGCGGGTTCGCCCGCCTCGGTCAACCCCAGGGTGAACGTCCCCGCGGACGCGCTGAACGACCCGCCGCGGAACAGCCCCGCGGCGGAAGCGCCCGGCTTTTTCGTCGACGCGCCGCGCAGCGTCAACCTCGGCGTGGTCGACGCGTGCGTCGCGAACGACGGCGCCGTCGGCGTCGGCGACGTCAACGCCGGCGTCGTCGTCGTCGTCGTCGTCGTCCCGGGAGGGAGTCGCGCCTCGGCGGCGAGCGCCGCCGCGGTGGACCGCAACCCGGCGTTCGCGAGGTGCTCGTGAATGAGTGTTAAGAGCTCCGCGTGCGAGTACTGCACTTTGGTCGCCGCCGCGATGGCGTGGCGCTCGAGCCTTCGAAGCGGCGCCGTCGCGGCGTCGCTCGCCGCCGCTGCGGTGCTCCCTCGCGCGGCGCCACCCGCGGTGAGCGCGACGAGCTCGACCGCGAAGCGATGGAACTCCGCCGCGGGCTCCGCGGCGACGGCGCTCGCGACCGCGGCGTCGTCGCCGGCGGCGTTCGGCCCAGCGTGTTTCGTCGGCGGGCGCGCGCGCGCGCCGTCCGCGGTCGCCTTCGCCGCGGACGCGCCGCCGCCGCCGTGCCGCTGCACGTCGCGCATGATCTCCGTCAGTCGCCTCGCGAGTTGAAGCGTCTGCAGCGTCTGCGCGATGGACGGGTCCCGCGCGAGCGACAGCAGCGCGCGGCAACACAGCGCCCTCGCCGCGTCGTTGTTCGGCGACGGCAGCGCCTTCGTCCCGCGAAGGAGAAGCGAGAGGAGGCCTCGTATCCCGCCGGCTTCGCGGAGCGCCGCGCGCGCGGGGCGCATCCGCGCCTCGATCGCGGCGAGACCGCCGCCCGCGGCGGCGTCTTTATTTCCTCCTCCCCCGAGCGCGCCGCCTTTGCTCTTCCGCCGTCCCGCCGTCGGCGTCCCGCCGTCCTTCGTCGACGGCTTCGACGGCGTCGTCGTCGCGTCGTTCGCGACGGCGGCGGCGGCGGCGTGCACCGACGCCGCCAGCGCGGGCGGCGGCGACACGAGGTTACACACGATGTGCAGCGCGTCGAGGACCGCGTCCGAGTCTTGCGCCGCCGCGGCGCGGGACGCGATCTCCAGGAGAACGCTCGACGCGGTGCTGCTCTCCGCGTGCTCGTCGTCGCCCGGCGCTCGCAACGCGACGCCCGCGGTGGCGACTTTCGCCGCGGGGTACAACGTCGCGATCCGCATGACCGCTAACCCGGCGGGGACGCACTCGTGGAAGTGCCGGTCCCCGGGCGCGGCTTGCACGAGCGCGAGGAGGACGTCCGGGCCTTCCTGCGCGACGAACGCGTCCATGACGAGCCACCGATGTCGCTGCAGCGCCGTCGCGACTTTTGGGTTGTGCGAAGCCACGTGCAGGTTGCGGTCCGTCGCGGCTTGCCCGAGGTCGATCGCGCGGTGCCCGGGGCCATGCGCGGGGCCGCCGCCGCCGCCGGACTGACGCCTCCCGTCGCCGCCACCGCCGCTCTCGCGCGCGAGCTCCAGCGCGATCCTCCGGTGCAAGTGCGCGCGGCAGTACTGCCGCAGCGTGTGACACGCGTGTCCGGCGGTTTGCTTCGCGCTCGCGCTCGCGCCTCCGCCCAACGTCGCGGTGTGCCTGAGTAAGTTGAGGACGTTCCGCAGCCCCCCCGCGGCGTCGAACGCGTCTATGATCGCCGGAAACGGGAACGACAGCGTCAGGAACATCGCCGCGTGCTTGCGCGCGTCGTCGTGCCCGCCGTTGATGGCCTCCAACGCGGCGTCGACGCACCGCCGCGCGAGGTGAGATCCGCCGCCGCCGCCGGACCCGACCCCGACCCCGACCCCGACCCCCCCAGCACCCCCTCTCGCAGGCGGCGCGAGGAGGCGCTCCATCGCGCTCGTGACTTGCGACACCCCGAACAGGCACTGCGCGAAGCCGTCGTACGTCAGCGGCCCGCGCGGGAGGCACAGAAGCGCGCGAACGCCGCCTCTGTCGACGAAGATGTTGGCGAACTTACGATGCTTCAGGAGCGCGCACAACGCCGCGAGAGACTCCGGGAGCTGCGGGAGCCCTCTCTTCGAGGACGCGCTCGTTCTCGCGGGCTTCTCCAACGCCCGCGCGTGCGCCGCCTCGGAGCTCCAGCCCGCGTCGCCCGGCCCGTGCGCGATCGCGAGGCCGAGCTCGACGGCGCCGCACGACAGCGCCTGCCCGAAACATTCGACGTACTCGCCGACGGCGGCGAGCGCGCGCATGCGCGCCTCCGTGAGCCTCGCCGGGAGCTTCGCGACGTCCAGGAGCTCGCACATCCCTTTCTTTTGCATCCACGCCGACATGCTCTCCGGCGCGGGGTTATCCCCGCGCTTGTCCTCTTCGCTCAGCGCGAGGAAGTGATCCACGGCGAGACGGTGCGACGTCGCCGCCGCCGCCGCCGCCGCCGCCGCCTTCGCGGCGGTCTCGCCGCCGCTGCCCCTCAGCGCCTCCTCGACGACGTCCGCGCCGTCGACGTCCTCGCCGTCTACCACGCTCCGCTTCAGCGGCGCGACGATCTTCTCCATTATTCTCCTGTGCACGAGCGCGGACGCGACGTCCTCCTGTTCGAGGGCGACGGACAACGCCCCCCAGGCGTACGTCCGCACGCGCAACGCGTCTAATTTCGCGCTCAGCGCAGCCTCCCTTGCGAGCGCCTTCGTGGACTCCGGCGCGCTCGCGACGGCCGCGACGGCCGCCTCCGCGGCCACGGCCGCGATCCCGCCGTCGCCGCCGCCGGGTCCGTCGCCGCCGCCCGGACCGAGAGACCAATTCAGGATTTTCTCGACCAAATTTTCCTCCGTGAGCGGGTACTGGAACCCGGTCACGCTCAAGACCGCTCTCGCGAAGCGCAGGCACGCGGCGAGCATCCCCGGGGTTTGGTTTCTGTCCACGAGCGGCGTGTACGTCACGCGCTCGAGGAAGTCCTCGTCGCTCTCTCTTCTGTCCTGAGAGTGGAACAGCGACACGATCCTTCCCACGGGGTACTGCCTCCAGTTCGAGCCGCTGTTGTCCCCGCACAGATCCTCGTAGCGCTGCCACTCGTCTTCCACGATCTGCGCGAGCGCGTTCACCGCCGTCGCGCTCACGGGAGCGTCCAAGAGCTCCTTCACGAGGTCTCGCGCCGCTCGCACGGACGCTTGTCCCCCCGCGGCGTTGATGGACTGCCGCAGGCCTCGTCCCATCTCCTCCGCGATCTGGTTCTCGCTCGGCGGTGGCGGTTGTCGCGGCGCGGGATCCGCGTCCGTCGTCGTCGTCGCCATGACCGCGGACGCGGGTTCGCGCCCAGGAACTGGGTGCTCGCCACCGCGACGCCCCTGAGCGTCCTCTCGTCCGCGCTGCGGGTGCGAGCGAGACGCGCGCGAGCGCCGTCGCGCGTGCTTCCCGAAGGCGGGCGAGCTCAGATTTGAAGCACCCCCGTGCACTTTTTGCGAGCGCGTCCTGTCAGCGCGTTGACACGCAAGCCGCCATTTGCAGATAAGCTCTGACGCCGCGTCGCTCACTGTGCGCGGCGCTCCCACGCGGACCGGCACCACACACGCGCGTCCGCGCGGCCACCCAACCCCTCAGATGAACTGCGTCCCCGGGGCTGCGCGCGTCGGAGCTCGTTCGCCCGTCGCCAGCCGCGCCTCGCACGCCGGCGACGTCACCGCCGGAAAGATGCAATTCGCGGCTCGCCTCGCGCGGCGCGTCGGCCCTCCCTCGTGCAACGCGATGCGCCGCGCGAACGCGGTCGCGAGCGCGCCGCCGCTCGCGGCGATCCACCCCGCCGCGTGGCGCGGGCTCGCCGGGAAGGTGAACTTGTTCAACCGCTCGCGCATGACGCCGCCGAAGGTGGCGACCTCCGCGGTGTCGACCGAGGAGGCGGAGACGACGACGGAACCGGAACCGATCAAGCTGATGACCTCGGACGAGAGCGAGGAGCTCCTGAAGATTCGACACACGGCCGCGCACATCTGCGCGATGGCGACGCAGAAGCTCTTCCCGGACGCGAAGTGCACGATCGGGCCGTGGATCGACCGCGGGTTCTACTACGACTTCGATTACAAGCCCGGGTTCTCGGAGCAAGACTTGAAGAAGATAAAGAAGCAGATGATCAAGATAATCAACAAGGACTACCCGCTCCGCAGAGAGGAGGTGTCGAGAGAGGAGGCGACGCGGCGCATCAAAGAGCTGAACGAGCCGTACAAGCTCGAGATCTTGGACGCGATCAAGACGGAGCCGATCACGATCTACCACATCGGCGAGGAGGGCGACGAGAACGCGTGGTGGGATTTATGCGCGGGCCCGCACGTCGAGAGCACGAAGAAGATTCACCCGAAGGCGATCGACTTAGAGGCGGTCGCGGGGGCGTACTGGCGCGGGGACGAGACGAAGCCGATGCTGCAGCGGATCTACGGCACCGCGTGGGGGTCCCCGGAGGAGCTCGTGGCGTACAACGAGTTCAAAGCGGAAGCCGCGCGTCGCGACCATCGTAAGATCGGCAAGGAGCTCAACCTGTTCTCGATCCAACAAGAAGAAGTCGGCGGCGGGCTCGTGTTCTGGCACCCGAAAGGCGCGCTGATGCGGAACATCATCGAGAACTTCTGGAAGGACATTCACATGGCGCGCGGGTACGACTTACTCTACACCCCGCACGTCGGCAAGCTAGACCTCTGGAAGACGTCCGGGCACGCGGACTTTTACGCGGAGAACATGTATAAGCCGATGGACGTGGAGGACGAGACGTACCAGCTGAAACCGATGAACTGCCCGTTCCACGTCGCGGTGTACAAGGATGGATACTTCTCGTACCGCGACTTGCCGATTCGGTGGGCGGAGATGGGGACGGTGTACCGGTACGAGCGCTCCGGGACGATGCACGGGTTATTCCGCGTGCGAGGGTTCACGCAAGACGACGCGCACATCTTCTGTCTGCCGGACCAAATCGCGGACGAGATCAAAGGCGTGCTCGATCTCACGGAGGACATCCTCTCGACGTTCGGTTTCACGGAGTTTGAGGTGAACCTGAGCACGAAGCCGGAGAAGTCTGTCGGCGGGCCGGAGATTTGGGACAAAGCCGAGGGCGCGCTGAAAGAGGCGCTCGCGGTGAAAGGATGGGACTACGAAGTCGACGAGGGAGGCGGCGCGTTTTACGGCCCGAAGATCGACATCAAGATCCTCGACGCGATCGGCCGGAAGTGGCAGTGCTCCACGGTGCAGCTCGATTTTAACCTCCCGGAGCGGTTCGAGCTGACGTACATCGACGAGGAGAACTCGAAGCGGCGGCCGATCATGATTCACCGAGCCATCTTCGGTTCGCTGGAGCGCTTCTACGGCATCCTGACGGAGAACTACGCCGGCGCGTTCCCGCTGTGGATCGCGCCGACGCAGGTGCGGTTGTTACCGGTCACGGACGCGGTGACGCCGTACGTCGAGGAGACCGTCGCGAGGATGAAAGCCGCGGGAGTCAGGGTGGACGTGACCTCGAAGGAGAGGCTCGCGAAGCTCGTGAGGAACGCGGAGAAGCAGAAAGTGCCCGTGATGTGCGTCGTCGGCGAACAAGAGGCGAAGGACGGGACGCTCGCGGTGAGGACGTACGCGGACGGGGACGTCGGGGTGATCACCGTGGACGAGGTCATCGCGCGATTGGAAGCCGCCAACGCGGGCAAGTTGGAGAAGTTTTAAAGCTCAACGGGATATCTTAAATCGCTCTTGTTATACGGGTTGCTTCTTGTATTCATTTGGGATCCATTACAAAACAAAACAACGCGTCGTGATGTCAATCGAAATCCGAATCCTCGTCGTCCGAGTTCAGCTCCAAGTTCCCGGTCCCGCGCGGCCCGCCCTTGCGCAAGTTCCTGATCGCCTCCGGCTCCTCGTTTTGTTTCGCCCTCGCGCGCGGGTCGACGTCGATGTCGTTGTCCCCGCCCTCGTACGTCAGCATGTTTTTCGACGCCAGGCACAACCGCAAGTGCTCCGTGGGGAAGTCGTCCGTGCCGCCGAGGTCGTCGAACCCGACGACGTAGTCCAGGACTTTCTCTTTCGAGATGCACGCGAGCGTGGGAAGCATCCAAATCTTTAAGCGTTCGGTGAGGAACTGCGACTTCTCCGCGTCGATGCGGCAAAACTTCGTCTCGAGGTGTCTCTTCGACAGCGCGCCCAGGTGCATGTCCATCACCTTGCACGGCCAGTTGTTCCGGTAGAAGTGCACGACCATCTTGTCCTCGCCTTTCATCTCGCTGAAGAACTCCTTCTCGTCCGAGATGTCTCTCAGTTCGCCGTGGCCTTTCGCGAGCCACGCTTTCCTCTTGTCCTGCGCGCCCTTCATCGCTTCGAGTCGTTTCCGGCGGATGTTCTCCAGGTCGTCCGCGTCCATGTTGTTCATCCTGTGGAGCTCGTCGTCGAGCGCGTCCTCCATGGACTTCGCCATGTCCAGGAGCTTCTTCTCCATCATCGCCTGGCGCGTTCGGGGGTGATTCGGAGGGGGAGGGGCGGGTCAGATCGCTCGGCCGCGCGGAAAAGACGAGGAAAGGCCCACGGCGGTGGTTTGACCGCGCGCGGGGTCGCGCGCCGACGCGGTTCGCGCGTCGCGGGCCGAGAAAAAGACGCCCACCTGCATCCGCGGGTCCTCCATGGTGCGTGACGTGTTCGCGCCGCGCGGGTGTGGTCGCGAATGCGTGTGCGCGTCGTCGCGCGCGTCGCGGGGTGCCCGTTTAGATCACCGCGCCCGGGGCTCGGTCAGGTTTGCGGGGCGGGGCGGTTCGTCTGTCAACCGGTCTGCCGGTCAAATCGATCGCGCGCGCCATTTGAAATCCGCGAAACGGTCTGTCGTGCCGACCGCTGGCGCTTCCCTCTCGTCACAGCGTTTCGGAAGTCGTCCGTCGGGCGAGTCGTTCGTCGCGGCGGCCGCGCGCGCTGTCTCACGCGCGCTGAACGAGCGAGCACGACGATCGGATCGGTCCGCGACGTCGCGTTCGAGGCTTCGAGATCTCCAGGCGCGCGACGCTCGTGTCGTTCTCACCGCGCGCGCGCGCTCGATCCCCCGCCAGGATCGCGCGCCGCCTCCGCTCTCTCGTTCGCGTTTTCCATCCCGGCAGCTCGGCGATCGGGGAACGCAGATCTCGTCCGTCGACCCGCTCACCTCCCCGCCCCGATCTCGCTCGGCGAATCATCTCGCAGGAACGTGTCGCGCGCGTGAACGCGACCTAAACCCCCGCGAGAATGGATCCCGCGTCCGCGTCGATGGGAATGATGAACCCGATGGGGTTCGCGCCCGCGTCGATGATGACCAACCTCGGCGGCCCGGGGTTCCCCGGCGCGCGCGGGCCGGGAGGTTTCGGCGTTGAGAAGGTGTTCCCGGTGGTGCGTCTGCGCGGGCTCCCGTTCAACGCGTCCGAGTACGACGTCCAGGAGTTTTTTCAAGGGCTCGAGCCCGTGGACGTGCTGATCGTCCGACGGGACGGCCGCGCGACCGGTGAGGCGTACGTCGTCCTCGCGAACCAGATGCTCATGGAGGTTGCGCTGCAGAAAAACCGCGGCCCGATGGGACGGCGGTACATCGAAGTCTTCCGCAGTAAGAAGCAGGACTACTACCACGCGGTCTCGATCGCGGTGAACGAGCCGGACTACGGCAACGGGAACGGCGGCCAGGGCGGCGGGTACTACGACAACGGCGTCGGCGGCGTCGGGATGGACGGCCGACCGCCGATGCCGCCGTTGAACGGCGTCGGCGGACCGCCGCCGCCGCACGGCGTCCCGGGCGGGAAGCCCCTCGCGGAGCACACCGGGGTTTTGAAACTGCGCGGACTGCCGTTCAGCGCGACGAAGGACGACATCATAACCTTCTTCGACGATAAATCCCTCGGGGTCTCGCCGCTCGTGCACGACAGCATCCACATCGTGTTGAGCGTGGACGGACGGCCGAGCGGCGTCGCGTTCGTCGAGTTCGTCTCCGCGGAGGACGCCAAGACGGCGATGATCAAAGATCGCTCGAGCATGGGGACGCGGTACGTGGAGTTGTTTCCGTCGTCGAGAGAGGAAGCGACGAGGGCGGCGACGAGCGGGCGCTGAGCGCGGCGCGGTGGTGGTGACATGGAGCGGGTAGCTTAGGGTCTGGGGATCCGGACCGGGAGACGCGACGAATGGGAGATTTTTTGGCGACGACGCGACGGGACGCGACGCGAACGAGGAGACGACGGTTGAAATAATGAGACGACGACGAGCGTTTTTTTGTTTAACACACATTCGCGTGAGTGATGTTACAACGGGCGCTTCCCGCGGAAGCGTTCGCGTCGCCGTCCACGTCGGGGTAGCGCGCAGCGCGTCGAAGATGGCATCGAACGCGCCGTCCTCCGCCTCGCGGCGGATTCGGTCGGGCGTCGTCACGTTTTCTTTTTTCTTCGACGCTCGGCGGGCGGGAGAGGGAAAACCCTCCCCTCGCTCGCGTTCGCGCGCTCCCGACCGCGGCGGTTGATGCGGTCGCTTCTTCTCGCCTTCTTCTCGTGGGTGGGTGGTGGAGTGGGTGGCCATGCGATGAATCATCAATCGGCATCTTTCGCTTCGTCTCGTCTACCCGAGCACCCCCCGGGGTTTCGCCCGGAGCGGTTCCCCCGCGAGCGCGCGCTTGACGTCCTTCTCCATCCCTTGCTCGAGCGGGTCCCCGGGCGAGTACCGCCGCAGCACCTTCCCGTCCCGCCCCACCAAAAACTTGGTGTAGTTCCACGGGATCTCCCCCTCGAACGGCGGCTGCTTCAGAAACGCGTACACGGGCGCGATCGGCGACGACGACGTGACGTCGTCGATCAGCGGCGCGGTGAGATACGCGTCCGGGTCGTCCTTGAACGATTCGTACGACGCCGGGTCCACGCCCTTGCACCGCGCGGGCTTGTCCTTGACGGCGATCTTGTCCATCACCGGGAACTCGAACCCGAACTTTCGGTACGCGTACTCTCGCTCCATCTCGCTCGTCCCGGGGGCTTGGCAGCCGAACTGGTTCGCGGGGAACGCGATCAGCCCGAACCCGTCCGCGTGGTACTTCTCGTACAACGACCGGAGGGCTGGGTAGTTCGCGTTCTGCAGGGGTCACTCCGACGCGACGTTCAGGACGACGGTGACGTCGTTCGCGAACGCGCTGAGCGCGAACGGCTTGCCGTACTGCATGACGGTGTAGTCGTAGAAGCTCGATTTGATCGGCTCCGCGGCGAGAGCGCGCTGAGGCGACGCGCCGCCGAGCGCGAGGAGGAGCGCGGCGGAGGAGAGGATAGATTCGCGTCGGGTGACGTCGTCGACGACGATAATGGCTGACGCGGCGTCGCCGTCCGACGCGCGAGACGCGCGCGTCGCGACTGACGCGACGCCGCGGTCGCGGGGGCGCTCCGCGCGGCGTCGGCCGCGAGCGGCGACGACGGGCGTCGCCGCGGGAGCCGCGAGCGCGAACGGCATGACGGGCGCGGCGCGCGTCGCGTTGTGGCGCGTGCCGTCCACGAGGGTTTGGTCTCACGGGTCGACTTCCACTTGTCCAAATTCCACCCGTTCAAGTCAGAATTCTCTGCACGGCCATTCACGTCGCCGCCCGGCGTCGCCGCTCGGCATGACGTCCCTCGCCTCGGCGCCCTCGCGCGCGGGCATCGCCGCCCCGAGCTGGCGCGCGCGAGACGGCGCGCGCGCTCGGTTTAGGGTCGGAACGCGCGCGCGTCGCCCAGTCGCGGCGAAGGCCAATTTCGACTTTCTCATGGAGGGCGTCCTGGACCCCGCGGGCGTGGCGGAGCGACTGCGCGCGCAGGGCATCCGCGGGGGGGACTTGGACGCTGACATGATGAGCACGCTCTCCAACGCGGGCGTCCCCTTGGACGAGCTCTTCGACCTCCTCATCGACGGTGGATCCTCTTCGAAGGATTACTCTTCGTCGAAGGATTATTCTTCGTCGGAGAATTCGACCGAGGACGACGACGACGAGAACGAGTTCTCCTGGAGCGCGAACGAGTTCTCCTGGGGGGACCCGGAGGAGTCTACGTCATCATCCAAGTCCTCGTCCTCGTCCTCGTCCTCGACCTCGTCCTCGTCCTCGTCCTCGTCCTCGACCTCGACCAGCTTCGAGGACTTTAAAGCGAAGTACGAGAGCTACGACTTCGACGACGACATTCCCGTCCCGGTCGTGGACGTGGAGAAGACGTTTTCATCCTTCGACGAGCCCGCGTCCTCGTTCGACGACCCCGCGGAGAGCGCCCGCGAGAACGAGGACGGCGTCCCGGACTGGGCCGCCGCGTTCGCGTCCGAGGTGGCGGCGTCGTTGCCGACGCACGGCGTGGACCCGGGGAAGTTAAACGACGACGCGAAGGACATCTTACGCGGCGCCGGGGTGTTGCCGGAGTGGTAGGGATCCCCTCACTTTCCCGTATCTTCGTTCGTTTTCGTTACATATCATGGTCTACACGTTCGTTTCCGCCGGTTCCGTCAGATTGTCGACGCTATCTCGCGACATCGTCGCGATTTACTCTGCCTATTTCATCGCTTCGTCTTGCGTTTCTTCTTTGACTGCGTCAAGGCGATCTCGTCTTCATCCCGAGCACCCTCGGCATCATCTCCATCTCCCTCCGCACCGCCCGCGGGCACTGGCACTGTCGCTGTCGCCGTCACCGTCGCTGTCGCTGACGCCGTCACCGTCGCTGTCGCTGTCCTCTTAAACTGCTCCGCGATCTCCGGCTGTTACGGACTTGTTCCTGCTTCAATAGCTTCGCGGTGACGTCTTCGCGTAGCACTTAAAGACGGTGAACGGTCGAGGTGATGGGTTTGCTCGGCAACGCCCTTCTCCGTGGAGGAATAAAAGGCCACGATGACGTCTGCGGAGGTGATCGTCGCGATGATACGCATGACAGCCTTGCAAATTCTCCCACCTTGACATGAATCGTCGCACCGGCTGCGTCGCCCTCGGGATCGGCTGGACCCAGAACTTCGATCATCAGTCTGTTCCGTCTGCATCACTAAAATTACACCGTCCCGCCTCTTATCTACCGCGTCGGGCTCCCCACGTCTTATATCGCTCGCGTTATGACTTGACAAACTACTCGGGCGTGTGCGTGTCTGATTGTTTTTTTGTGCGGGTGACTCTAACAAGTGGGTAGAGTGGTACGCGTCGCAATCGACGACGACGACGACGACGAAGACGACGACGACGAAGACGACGTGGGAGGAACCGGTCAAGGAGACGACCAGGGAGCTGGCGCGGGAGTCAGCGAGCGACCTCTCGCGGGGACTCGCCCCGGACTTCGCGTCGGCGTCGAACGGGCCGGTGTCGGTCGGGCCCGGGGTGACGCTCCTCGAGGAAGCGGCGAGCGAGTTCGGGACGCTGCAGGTGCTGAAGTACTCCGAAACGCACAAGGACCGTACGTTCGCGGGCGCGGTCGTTCTGCAGTACAAGCACACCCCCGACGCGGTGTTGTCCGAGTATCGAGAGAACGACAAAAGCCTCACCGGGGGCGTGTTCGACTTGTTCGCGATGCTTCCGCCGCTCATCGGCTTGGACGACGTCGAGTACGCCCCGGTCGGCATCATGGGCGTCGGCGCCGGGACGACCGCGCGCGAATTCACGCGTTTGTACCCGCGAGGGAAGTTTCTCAGGCATCTCATCGGGTGGGAGCTCAACGGCCCGATCATATACCTCGCGAGGAAGTACTTCGGTTTAGAAAAGCTCGAGATTTTAGGCGCGGTCACGATTCGCATCGGGGACGCGTTCGAGGAAGTGAGGAAAGCCGCGGCGCGGGAGAAGGACAACACGATGGCGGGCCTCGTCGTGGATCTGTTCGACGAGAAGAGTAGGGTGCTCACGAGGCTCACGGAGAGAGAGGCGTGGGAAGATATCGCCAACGTGCTGTCCCCGGGCGGTCGAGTCGTCGCCAACTTGAGCACGGGACGAGGGAAAGGCGCGGATTTCGAAGCCGCCGTGAAAGCCGCCGAGCTCGCGGCGGTGACGTGCGGCGGCGGGCAGGCCTCGGTGTGGCGCTCGGGTGCGCACGGGATCTGGAACGAGGTCGTGTTGACCGGGCCGCCGCCGCACAAGATGTGGGAGAAAAATTTGCCGCCCGAGCTGAGACACCTCGCGGGGGATTGGTTCCCGGTTACGGCGCCGCCCGGAGCGGAGACCGGGTGGATTCTGGACGCGCTGAAAAAAGCCGCGGAGGCGGCGGGCCGAGGGACAGAGAGGGTGGACGCGCACATAGAAAGAAGGTCGTAGTAGATGTAAGTCGTGTTGATACAGCAGGTCTACGTTGTGCTCTCAGAACGAGACGTGGCGGCCGCCGTCGCGGGTCGCAGTCACGGAGAACCCGCCGCCGCCGCCGCCGCCGCCGCCACCGCCGCTTCCTCCCGGACGTCCCCTGGAGAAATACCCATACCCGCCGCCCCCGTCGCCGCCGTCCTTCTTCCTTTTCTTGTTCGCTGGCGTCTTGAACGCGTTCCCATTTCCGCGACCCCCGCGGCCTTTCGCTCTCCCGCCGCGTTCGCGCCCGCCGCCGCGTCCGCGCCCGCGTCCGCCGCCGCCGCCGCTCGCGCGCACCTGCCCCTCCTCGCTGTCGTCGTCGCTGTCGTCGTCCGACACGGTCACGATCTCCAAGGCCTCGTCGTCGTCGTCGTGGTAGTCGTCCACGCCGTCGTCGTCCTCCTCTGAGTCGTAGTCGTCCTCGGAGACGCTCATCTCGTCGTCCTCGGTCCCGGACGGGGACACCGTGTCCGACGCGGAGTCGCTCGACGAGCTCGACGAGCTCGACGAGTCCCCTCGCGCGGGCGTCGCCGCCGCCTTCCTTTTCTGCCCGTGCCCGCCGCCGCCGCCGCCGCCGCCGCCGCCGCCGCCCGCGAACGCGTAGTTCGCAAAGTCCGCGGCGACGCCCGCGATCGCGCCGGGCTCCGACGGCGCCGGTCGACCCTTCAACGTCTTCGGGTCCATGCGAACGATTCGACGCAACAAAAAATCTTTGCGATCGACGACGGGCGCGGTCATCAACGTAAACGCGTGCTCGAAGGCGGATTTGACCTGCCGCGCGGCGTAGCTGTTCCGCCCTAAGTCGTTCGTCGGGTCCTGCGGGTCCTCGATCGCGAGAAGAAACGGCCGCCCCGGGTCGTGCCAGGTCTTGTCCCTCTTCGCGAAAAATCGCCCGCCGCCGCGGCACGAGATCCCAACCTCCTCCGTGTTTAACCGCCTGCCGTAGAGCTCGAAAAAGTCGATGAGCAGCGCGCCGAGGCACCCTTCCGCGGCGGCGTCGCCGCCGCTCTCCCCCGCCCAGTTGCTCGCCGCGGACGACGAGTCGTGCAGCTGAAGGTGCGCCATGACCATGCACAGAAGCGCATACGAGCCGATCCCTCCGGTGTACACCTCGTTCAACGCGCGCTGTTGTAAAAACGCCTTCAGCACGGTCGTTAACGGCCTCAAAGCCGGGAAACGCCGCATGTTCATCCTGACGATCTCCGCGCTCGCGGGACCGTTCGCGACGTCGAACGAGATGTCGAATTGGAACCCGCTCGGCGCTTCCTCGAACTTTACGATCGGGACCCGCGCCTTCGAGATGAGCTGAATGTTCCTCGCCATGCCCCGTCGGCTCAACGCGAGCGCGAGGGCTTTCAAGCACAGCGCCGGGGACTGCGCGCCGCTGTCTAAGATCACCGCGTCGATGTCGCTGTTCGGGAGGTACATCCCCGTCGCGAACGAGCCGTGGACTTCGAACCGAGACTGCGGCCATATCGAGAGCACCGCCGCGCGCACGCGGTCGACGGCGGCTTTTCGTCCCTCCGCCTCCTCCGCGGTGGGCTCTAAGAAGCGGCAAAAGTCGACAATCTCCGCGTGCAGGCGCACGAGCGGGGACTTGAGCTTTCGCAGTCTCTCTGCGGTCCCGGGCGGGCTCCACGGCGGGTCCGGCGCCGCGTTCGCGTCGTCCTCCCACGCTTTTTCCTCAGCCTCCTCCTCCGCCGCCGCCGCCGCGGCTTCCTCGGTGAGTCGCCGCGTCGCGGCCGCGCGGTTCGCCTCGGGGACGTCGTCCTCGGACCCGAAGTCGATGAAGTCGTCCCCGAGACCTTCGCTGGTGACCGGCAGCGGCGCTCGCGCGACCGCGGTGCCGCCTATGCGCGTCTCGTTCCTGCGATGGAGAGAGGACGGGGTCGTCCGCGTTCTGTTAGGGTTAGGTCTGATTCGTCCGCGTCCGCGCGAGACGAGACGAGATCGCCGGGAGTCCCCGCGAGCGCACCTGGAGTCGTTCGGAGCCTCGGGCTGAGCCCCCGCGAGGCCGAGGCTCACGCCGAGGCCTAGGCCCAGGCCTAACCCCCCCGCTGGCGCGAGGCGGTCGTACAGGACCTTCGTCTCGCCCTTTCCCATCGGTGCCGGATTCCTCCTTCTACTGCTCGCGCGCTAACTCGACTACCTCTCGCGACGCCCGCTCACCGCTGCGACGGCGGGTCCCTCGGCGGCTTCGGCTTGTTGCCCTTGTTCCTGTTCTTGAACCACCTGTACAGCAGCGTACCGACCATCACCGCCTGCACGAGGATCTGGAACCTGGACGCTTGCTCCCGCCTCCGAATCTCGTCCGCGAACTCGGGGACGTCCTCGAGGTTCACCGGCGACGGCCGCGGCGGCTGCAGCTGCGCGCGCTGACCGGGCGACGACGCGTCCGCGGAGGCGTGAAGGGAGAGGACAGGGGGTCCCTTCGGTTTCCTACCCATGCACGATGCACCGGGGGCGGCGCTAAGGCGAGGCGCGTTGTGCGCCGACCGAGCGAGGGGAATCCGACAAGACCGCATCGATCAGAGCGCGATTTTTGCCGCCTGCTGACGAACGATCTCCGCAGCGATGATCTGGCATTACCGTGCGCTGATCTGCCTCACAGCGATCGTGCGCCGGGCGGCCTACGCGAGGCCGCGACGCACGCCCCTCGTCGCGTTCGACGTCGCGTGAACGGCGTGGACACGGCGTTTCGACGCAGATCGGGCCGCGGACGCGTCGGCGGGGCGAGCGACGTCGCGATCGGCCGGACGAGTCGTGATCGGAATCGACCTCGCGAGAAATGAGCGGCAGACGCGGATCCGCGGTCTTGGACGACATGGACCCCGCGACCGCGGCGCTCATCGCGCAGATGCAGGAGGAGGACTCGCGCGGCCGCCGCGAGCGAAGGGCACCGGAGGTGTACAAACCGCCAGCCCTGGGCGAGGGCGGGTACGCGAAGGGCGCGGCGAGCGAGGCGAAGACGCCGAAGGCGAAGGCGGACGGCGCCTCGCGTTCGCGGACGCCGTCCGAGGCGCCTCCGCCGTCCGAGGCGCCTCCTCCGTCCGGGCGCCGCGAGAGGAAGGCGCCGGAGCTGTACAAGCCGCCGCCGCCGGGCGAGGGCGGGTACGCGAAGAGCGACAAGTCGCGAAGGACGAGCGGCGCGTCGGATAAGCCGTCCCCCGCGAGCGAGAAGCGCGGCGGCGACCGACGCGGCCGAGGCGAGATCGACGCGTCGCCGTCGGACGGCGGGAAGAGGAAAGAATCGTCGTCTCCGGCGATCCGGTCGTCCGCGGACAACCCGAAGCTCGGGAAGCCGCCCAAGGGCGAGGACTACGTCCACTTCCGTCTCGAGGTGTGGGTCAAGGAGGTGAAACGGAAAGGGAACCCGCAGCACAGCGACAGGCTGTTCAAGAGGTTCAACGACCGCGGCGAGGAGCTGCCGTTTGAAAACTGCGACTCTCGCGGGGAGCCGCCGCACAAGTCGAACCCTCAGACCGATCGCGTGTCTCTGCGCTCGGAGCGGGCCGTGGGGAGGTACTTCGAGCGCAGGGAAGCGGACGAGGCGGCGGAGAAGGCGAAGCGCGCGAAGAGAGGGGGGAAGTCGAGCGGCGGCGGCGGGAAGGCTTCGGCTTCGGCTTCAGAGAAGATGCCGCCGCCGCCGCCGCGGACGGAGGCGACGAGCGCGAAGAAGACGGAGCCGTCGTCTTCTCGCTCGCGCGCGAAGCCGAGCGAGCCCGCGAAGAAGATCGTCCCGTCGACGGAGTGTCACCGCGATAACAGCGCGGTTCGATGCGCGGTGCTGTCCGGGTGGAAGGCGATGGATCACTGCGACGAGTACAGGCTGGCGGCGGAGGGCGCCGCGGGACGCGACAAGGACGACCCCGAGAAGGTCACGGAGAAGCGCATAAAGCTGCACTTCGTCGACGGCGAGGGGAAGAGCTGCCACCAGTGCATGCAGAAGACGGCGAACATGCCGTGCAAGAATCTCGTGAAGAAGGGCAAGTCGAAAGAAGTCTCGTGCTTCGCTTCCTTCTGCACGAGCTGCTACGAGAGGTACTACAACTACCTCTCCCCGGCAAAGATGTGCGAAAAGTGCCCGCGGTGTCTGAACACGTGCGTGTGTCGCAAGTGCATGCGCGAGCGACCGTTCAACGAGGACGAGTGCAAGAGCTTTCGCGACGCGGACGCGGCGACGATGAAAGCGCACGCCGCGCGGGTCCTGGACCACGTCGCGCCGCACCTCGTCGCGGTCGCCGGGCAGCTCAAGGCGGAGAGATCGGCGCACGCGGAGTCGCCGTGGGACGCCCCGGAGATACCGGAGATGCTCCCGGGGGGGACGTACAGGCTCGTGTGCGACCAGTGCAGCGCGTCCATCGCGGACTGCCATCGCCACTGCGGGAGCTGCGAGAGCGACTACTGCCTCGACTGCGTCGCGGAGATGCGCGCGCTGCCGCACTACCGCGTCAAGTCGGAGTTTCGCCCGGAGACGCGACGGTGGGAGGGCGACGAGAAGTGCTTCGCGCCGGTGGTGAAGACCGAGGGCGGCGACGCGCACGCCGCGGCGGCCGGGGGCGCGCTCGCTCCCGCGGGGCCGTCGAAGCCGACGCTCGCGGCGAGGACGGAGCAGAAGAAGGCGACGAAGGTGAAGTGCCCAAAGTGCATTCACGCCGCGGACGCCGAACTGACCAACGCAATCTCGACGCGGGACGCGTTCGAGGCGCACATGCGTCAGGTGCACGAAAACCCGGCGTCGAGCTCCGCGGACGAGGACAACATCAAAGAGAGCCTGAAAGTCGCGACCGAGGCGGTCGCGAACGCGCGGGAGAAGAAGCGCGCCGCCATCGAGACGCCGCTGTCGTTGAAAGTGCGCTGCGTCAGCGTCTCCACCAAGGCGTCGCTCGCCGTCGCCAAGGCGTTCACGGACCCGCTCGACGACGTCAACGGGCTCGCGTCGACGTACGGTGAGAACGCGGCGCGGGCGGCGATGGACGCCGCGGACGCGTTGACGAGCACCGCGAACGACGACGCCGCGGCCGCGCGCGACGCGTTCGTGAAGGAAGTCTTCGAAGGCGCGGAGCACGTAAAGGGAAAAAAGGCGACGGAGGACGCGCGACGCGGCCCGGAGTCGCAGACGTGGAGGCATCACGCGGACGCCAACGACGACGCCGCGCGGATCGCGGCGGTGTCCAGACGCGAGTCGAGCGACGCCCCGTCACGGCCGTGCTCGCTGTGCGTCCCGCGCCCGGCCGCGCGAGGGAGCAGCCGCGGCGCGGCGGCGGCGGCGGGGCACGGCGGGCAGGCGCCGCCGCCGGAGGTGCGCGGCGAGGGAGTCCTCGCCGTCCCGAGAGACGCGCTGCCGATTTGGTCCCCGCGCGCGGACGACGTCAACCCGGAGAAGGTGGGGAAGAAAAAGTACGCCGCGGCGCTGGAACACTTTCAGTCACACTGGCAGCGCGGTGACGCCGTCGTCGTTCGCGGCGTGGAAGGGAAGTACACGGGGTGTTGGAAGCCGGAGAGCATCACGCGCGCGATGACGGACATGAGCAACAAGCGCCTCGGGACGGACGCCAGCAGAGACGTGAGCGTGATCGACTGCGAGTCGGGGGAGACGGTCACGCGGTCGATCGGGGAGTTTTTCAAAGGGTTCGACTCCAGGGCGTACCGCGAGAGCAAGCTTCAGCAGCACGGGCTCTTGAAGCTGAAGGACTGGCCGAGCGAGGACGACTTCCGGCAGAAGATGCCGCGGCACTTCACGGATTTCGTGCAGATGCTCCCGTTTCAAGAGTACACGAACCAAGTCGACGGCCCGCTGAACTTGTCCACGAAACTCCCCAAGGAGTGGGTCCCCCCGGATCTGGGACCCAAGTCCTACGTCGCGATGGGGCGCGTGAAAGAGCACGGCGTCGGCGACAGCGTCACGCGGTTGCACCAGGACATGTCCGACGCCGTCAACGTGCTCGTGCACGTGGGCCCGAGCCAAGCGGACGACGACGACGACGACGGCGAGGACGAAGTCCTTAAGGAACGGCGTTCACCACGCGAACGCGGTCGTATGGGAACCAGTCACGACGAGGACGACGACGACGGCGAGCGCGTTCCCGAGACGGAGGATGAAAAGGCAAAGGCGAGCGCGGACGCGGACGCCCCGGGGGCGCGCTGGGACATCTTCCGGAGGGAAGACGTTCCGACGCTCAATGAGTGGCTCTCGTGGAAGTGGTGCAAGCGCGAGCTGGAGTACCAGCCGAAGATGGAGAAGCGCGCGCGGACGAATCATCCGATTCACGATCAGCAGTTTTTCCTCACCGCGAGCGATCTCGACGCGCTGCGTGAAGACACCGGCGTGAGGCCGTGGTCGTTCACGCAGAAGCTCGGCGACGCGGTGTTCATCCCCAGCGGATGCCCGCACCAGGTCCGCAACCTTCGCAGCTGCTTGAAAGTCGCCGTCGACTTCGTCTCCCCGGAGAGCGCGGGCTTGTGCCTCGTCATGGCGCGGCAGCTCCGAGGGTGCGGGATGGAAGATAAGCTCCAAGGCCGCGCGATGATTCTGCACGGCGCGCGCGCGGCGGACGAGATCCTGAACGGCGGGAAGCAGCGCGCGTACGGCGGCGCGTCCGAGGCGGCGCTTCGGAAGCTCGAGGAGGACAGAGCGGCGGCGGCGACGGCGCGGAGAAAAACGCCGTCGGACGAGGACGAGCCCGACGACTGGGACGAGAAGAACACCCTCGAGGCGCGACGGAAGAAAGAGGAACAGGAGGAAGCTCGCGAACGCGCGAGGGAGGAGAAGGAGGCGAGGGCGCGCGCGAAAGCGGAGAAGGAGGCCGAAAGGCGCGCGGCGAAGACGAAGACGAAGAAGCAGGAGCCTCTTGATGAAGCGTCCGAGGAAGCGAGCGAGATTGACTTCGCGTCGGACATCTTGGCCGGCTTCGCGGACACCGTCCTCACGGAGTCGCAACACAAGAAACGTTCGCACCCTCGCGAAACCTCCGACGGCGCGAAACCTCCGACGGCGAAGCGCAGCAAGCCGAAGAAGGAGACGCACGCAAAGGTTGAGCACTACGACGCCGCGCCCGTCGCGGCGGTGCCTCCTCCCTCGTTCGGGAACCTCAACCCCGGAGCGTTCGCCGGCGCCGCGCCGGTGAATCCGCTGTTGTCGCAAATCGCGGCGTTTCAAGCGCAAGCTGCCGCGCAGGCTGCCGCGTTCGCGCCACCGCCACAGGCGATGCCACCGCGAAGCGTTGGCGCCGGTCCCGGGTTCTTCAACTTCCCAGCAGCGCCCGCGGCCGTGTCCATGCCCCCCGGCCTCGGCCTCGGCGCGACGGGACCCGCGGGCGTTTCCCTCCCGCGAGGGCCGGCGGCGGGGACGACCCCGGAGCAAGAGATCGCCGCGGCGCAGCACGCGACGCAGATGCAGCAGCACTTCACCGAGCAACAATCGCAACAACCGATGTCTCCCTCGATCATTGCCCAATTCCTTCAAAACCCCCTGCTCATGAATGTCCTGACCTCGCAACCGACGATGATGGCGGGCTTGATGAATAACCCGCTCGCGATGCAAAATTTTCTCAGCGCGCTGCAGCAACAGGACGCGGCCGGCGGGTTCTCGTTCTCGCAGAACGCGGCCGCGCAGGGGGAGGAGAAGCCGCACGCGCTGAGCGGCTGATGTGAATCACACCGTGAGTACCGTAGATGGTTCTCTACTACTAGAATATGAGAAGTCATAAGATGACCGTAAGCACGCATTCGTATCGTTACGTTATCGTTTCGTTTCAACGCGTTCATCGCACACTCGTTCTCGTCTTTCACTCGTGTTCTGATGCATCCCAGTCCCGTCGTCACGCCCCCATCTCCTCCTTCTCCTCGCTCCCCGCGCGAATCACGGAATGCGAGCGGAGCTCTTGAAGAGGTCCGCGAGCGCGTCCGCCTCCGCGGCGTCCTCCGCGCTCGGCGCGACGAACCCGTCGCCGTCGTCCTCTTCACCGTCGCCGCCGTCCGACGCCGTCGCCACGAGCTGCCGCTTCGTCGCCGGCGGGCTCGCGGAATCCGACAAAGGCGATACGTCCGTCGCCCTCCGCTCGACGTACGAGCGCGTGATCGGGCGATTGGACGGCGACGGCGTCGCCGCCGTCGCGAACGGCGTCCCGAGCCTCGATCGGGGCCTGGTCGCTCGGCCGGCGCCTGAAGCCGCGGCGGCGGCGGCGTCGGCGGCGGCGGCGGCGGCGGCGGCGAACGGCGAGGGCGTCGACGCCGCCGCCGCCCTCGTCGCGGCGTGACCCGCGACCTCGTTCACCACGGACGTGATCTCGTACCGCTCGTGCGCGAGGATCGATTCGCGGTCTTGCGCGGCGGTGAGCGCCGCGGTCGCGGCCTGCCTTCGCAGCGTCGCCCGCGCGAGAACTCCGTCGACGCTCTCTTTCGCGGCGGCTGCGGTCTCTTTCTCCCTGAGCGCTCTGCTCGACGTTCGCGTCGTCGGACTCCCGACGCTCGCGCGCCGTTCCGCGGATCGCGCGATCTCCACGGAGTCGCGCTTCGAGATGAACGCCCGCGCGTGCGCGTTAGAGGCCTTCTTCTCTTCCTGCGGTGCGAGAGCGCGCGTTAGGGTTTGGTTTCTTTTGGCAAAGAAACTGAACGAAAAGAGAAGCGCGCGCGACCGAGAGAGACGGGCGCGAAGGAGCCGCGGCGCGCCGGGGCGGTCACCTTGATTGCGGCGGTGTACTCTTCCAGCGCGATCACGACGTCTTGCTTCGCGAGGACGTGCGCCTCGAGCGCGGCGGCGAAACGATCCGTCGCCTCCTCGGCGGCGTCGTTCTTCGTCGCGTTCGTCTTTGCCTTTTCGACCTCGCGCGGGGCGCCGCCGCGGGGGGTCGCGGCGGGGACGCTCGTCCCCGAGCGCGGACGCTCGCGCGCGGGCGCGGAGTGCGGCGTCTTGCGCGCGCGCGAGCGCTTCTCGCCGAGCGCGGGCGGGGTCGTCGGGGTCGTCGGAAGCATCGAGCGCGGAGGGTGCTGCGGCGACGGCGGGGAGGCGCGCGTTTGGTTGTGCGCGAACGAAAAGCGCGCGCGTTTGAATTAGGGCAACGACGACCGAGATCTTCCCGGGGTTCATAGACGGACGAGGGCGGCGACACGCGTGAGATAGAGAAGGGCGACGCGAGTGGGGTCGTTCCGCACTGGCTTAAAGGTCAGGTAAAAATTGTACGGAAGTAACTTCGATTAATGGACTCGACGCCGCCACCGTAAACGCGACTCACACGTCCTCGAAAGCCTCCTCCGCGAGATCGATCGCCCGCCCGAGCGCCGCGGCCTTGTTCACCGTCTCCTGATACTCGCTCTCCGGATTCGAGTCCGCGACGATCCCCGCGCCGGCTTGCAAGTGAATCGTCCACTCCCGTCGCGACTTCCCTTCGATCCCGTTTCTGAACTCGTACAGGTTCTCCTTGTGCTCCGTCGGGATCACCATCGTCCGCAGCGCGAGCGCCATGTCCATCTCGCCCATGAACCCGACGTACCCGACGCCGCCGCCGTACGGCCCCCGTCGCGTCGTCTCCAGCTCGTCGATGATCTGCATCGCGCGCACTTTCGGCGCCCCGGAGACGGTGCCGACGGGCAGCGCCGCCTTCAGGACGTCCCACGGCCCTAAATCCTCCAACAGCGACCCGGTCACCGTGGAAGAGATGTGCATCACGTGCGAGTAACGCTCAATCTCCATGAGTTTCTCAACCTTCACCGTCCCGGCTTTACTCACCCTGCCGACGTCGTTTCTTCCGAGGTCGACGAGCATGACGTGCTCGGCTTTCTCTTTTTCATCCGCGAGAAGGTCGAGCTCGAGCGCGTCGTCCTCCTCCTTCGTCTTACCGCGCATGCGCGTCCCCGCGAGCGGGCGGTTCACCACTGTGCGGTGCTTATCCGTCCTGCACAAAATCTCCGGCGAAGACGCGACTATGATCGACCCTCTCGCTTGGAGGTAAATCATGTACGGCGACGGGTTCACGACTCTCAGCGCGCGGTACACCTCAAACGGATCCGCGAACGTGCTCCTCTGGAACCGGTGGGACAACACGAGCTGAAAGATATCCCCGGCGACGATGTGCTCCTTCGTCTCCGCGACCGCGTTCAAGAACGCCTCTTTCGTCATCGTGCTGTCCTTCGGCGGCGTCGGCGGCGCGGTCAGCGACATCGACACCTCCCCGAACGGCAACGTCGGCGCGGAAGACGGCTGCAGCGCCTTGACGAGATCGTGCAGGCACCGCTCGCCATCCTCGAGCGACGCCTCGACGTCGCCGCCGAAGACGGTCGTGTCCACCCAGTGCACCGCGTACACCTGCTTCGTGGCGTGGTCGAACACGACGACGTCGCGGTACAGACCGAGGCACAGGTCGGGCAACGCGCGGTCGTCCGTCGGCGCGTCTCCGAACGGGAGCTTGTTCAGGTACTGATACCGAACCGTGTCGTACCCGGTGTACCCGACCCACCCGCCGGTGAAGCACTCCGGGAGGCCCTCCGTGCGCGTCGGGTGCCACTTCGTCGCGATCTGCTGCGCGACCGCCATCGGGTCGGACTCGGTCGAGCGCGTCTTGGTCCCCGCGTGATGATCGAGCACGACGCAGCTCGACTCCTTCGCGATCACTTCGAGGTACGGGCGCGAGCCCAGGAAGGAGAAGCGCCCCGTCTGCGTCCCGCCGACGACGGACTCGAGGAGGAAGCTCGGCGCGTCGCGCTCGTCCTCCTTGACGAGGCATCGATACGCGAGGATCGGCGTGAGCTGGTCGTCGAAGATGCGGCGGTACAGCGGGACGAGGTTGTGTCCCGCGCCGACGAGCGCGCGGAACTCGTCCGCTTGCGTCGACCGCGGGGCCGCGCGCTTCGCGGCGGACGCGGCGGACGCGGCGGACGCGGCCGCGGGCGCGGCCGCGGGCGCGGGGCCGTCCGCGATGGCGCGCGCGGTCGCGACGCGTCGCGCCGAGGACGAGCCGTGGGACGGGACGCTCGCCGCGAGCGACGGTCGATTCTTCCGAAGAATCTTTTCGCCGTTCGCGGCGGCGACGCGCGTCGTCGCCGCGGTCGCGGCGGACGGTCCGCGGGATCCGCGCGAGGAAGCGCTCGCGGCGGCGTGCGCCGCCTGGGTGGCGCCGATGATGCACGCCATATCGCGTCACCGAGCGACGGGCGCGCGCGCGCGTCGAGTGATCGCCAGCGGTGCCCCCCTCCCCTGCACTCTCCCAGGGCCAGGAAACGGATGAGGAGATCCCGGTCGGTTCTGTCTGGTTCGCCGACCGCTCCCCTCGCAGCAGAGGTGGTGAGGGAAAAATCGACCCCCCGCGCGGCACAACCGCGCGCACCACGCGACGACCGCACGCGTCGAACGCTCCGTCTCTTCGAACGCGATCCTTGTTCAGGTCCTCGACGCGCGAGACCCGCGTTGCCGTCCGCGAACCCGCGCACCCGCCGACGCCGCCGCTCCGATTCGCGCGTCGTGGTCAACCGCCGTCGCCGAGAAACGAAAACAGGGGAAGGGCGAGGGACGAGAGCGACGGACGGACGGATGGCGGGCGCGGCGCACCAGCAGACCGCCGCGGTCCTTCGCCTGCAGTCCGACCTGAGAGCGATCAAGACCGAACCCCCCGACGGATGCAGCGCGTCCCCGCACAGCGAGGACAACTTATTCGTGTGGTCCGCGACGATCTTCGGACCCGACGAGACGGCGTGGGAGGGGGGCGTGTTCTCGCTTCGAATGACGTTCGGGGAGCAATACCCGGAGAAACCCCCGCGGGTGCGATTCACGTCCGAGGTGTTCCACCCGAACGTGTACAGCGACGGCACCTTGTGCATGGACATCATACAAGACCAGTGGTCGCCGATACACAACGTGTGCACGCTGTTGACGTCCATACAGTCGCTGCTCACGGACCCCAACCCGAGCTCCCCGGCGAACCAAGAAGCGGCGCAGCTCTTCACGGAGGATAAGAGCTCGTACAACCGGAAAGTGCGAAGGCTCGCGCAGAAGACGATCGAGGGGTGACGCGCGCTGTTCGTGCGAGGGAGTGGGGGTGGGGGTGGGCTAACGAGGGTGGGTGGGTAGGGGGGGGTGTTGTACGCGAGGGGATAAGAGACGCGCGGGGCGCGGTCGACGACGGGTGACTCAGCAGTGCATCTGCAGGCATCAGGGACTCGTCGCATTTCCAGCACCATGCATGTTGTAACATGACGGTAGACGAATACGTTCACTCCTCCTCCTCGCGGCGCGAGACGCGACCGAGCCCGTCGCCGCGCGTTCGATAGTCTCGGTGGTCGCGACGCTCTCCCGCCGCCGCGCGACGAGTCCTGCGAAGACGCGCGACGCGCGCGCGAGAGACGTCCTGTCTCGTCGTCGTCGTCGTCGTGGTTCGGTTTTTTCCCCGTCGCCCTGGAAACCGTCCGTCCGCGATGGCGCCGTCCCCCCGCGCGTCCACGTCCGCGTTCGACGCGCACGCGCCCGAAGATGGATACCGCCTTCAAGGCGACGAGAAGCTCGCGTTCGTGACGGACATGTTCGACCGCGTCGCGCCGACGTACGACCTCCTGAACTGGTTCATCTCCCTAGGGCAAACGACGCTGTGGCGACTAATGGCGCTGTCGTTCCTTCGCCCGTACCTGCGAGCGCGCGCGAAGGTCCTCGACGTCGGATGCGGCACCGGGTGGGTGTCGTGGTACTTCGCGTGGCGGTATAAAGACATGAAGCTCGACGTCGAGGGCGTGGACTGCTCGCCGGTGATGTTAGACAGAGCGCGCGTCGTCGTCCCAGGCGGCAGGTTCACGCGCGGCGACGTCTGCGCGTTGACGCACGACGACGACGCGTTCGACGTCGTGACGACCGTGTACACGCTGCGTAACTTCCCGAACCTGGAGAGAGGGTTGCGCGAGATGTACCGCGTCTGCGCGCCGGGCGGGGTGGTGATCATATTGGACGCGTTTCCCGCGAAGAATTTCGCGATGCGATGCGTTTTGTACGCGTGGCTAGAGCTGGTCATGCCGCTCGTCGCGATGCTCTTCACGCGCGACGCCAAGGCGTACAGGTACCTCAGCGCGAGCATACGCGCGACGGCCGCGGTGGAGGAGGTCACGGAGATGTTGTACGAGTGCGGGGCGGTCAGGGTGGAGATCGCGAAGTACACGTTCGGCGCCGCCGCGAGACTCGTCGCGCACAAAGCCGCGTGAGGGCGCCGTAGTCTCGCGCCGTAGTCGTTCTAGTACCTTGGTAGATTCTATAGAAGAGACAGACAGCTCACTAGCTAGACTAACGCACAACGTGTACACCTACTAGGCCCTCGCGCTACCTACGACGCGCGCGTCACTTCAACCCGAGCCAGTCCAGGAGGACGACGACGGCCAAGGACGCCGGGTACAGCGCCAACACCGGGAACGCGACGGCGGTGGCGTACGTCTTGGACCGCGCGCCGACGACGCCGACGACGACGGTCACGAGGACGATCACGACAGCCTCCGCGCTGAACTCCCACCGCAAGTCTTGCACGCGCATCACGAGCGCGAAGAGACCGAAACACATCGTGTTGTTCATCGTCACCGCGCCGTACACTTGCGAGTACGTCAGACTTAGGTTCTTCTTCTTCTTCTTCGACGCGAAGTACAGCGACGAGACCAACTCGCTCGCGTTGGACGCGAACGGGGTCAACACGAACGACGCGAAGAAAGGGGACGGGAGCCCGATCGCGTGGGATAACGACGTGATCGCGCCGACCATCGGGTCCGCGAAGAGACCGACCATGATCATTCCGCAGGCGAGGAGCGCGAACGACCGGCGGACGATCTGCGCCTTCGTCGCGGGCTCGGACTTCGACTCCGACTCCGACTCCGACTCCGACTCCGACTCCGACTCGTCCCTCTGCTCTTCCGCGTCGGACGTCTCGCTCGCGGACGCGACCCCGGACCCGCGCGCGAGCAGCGGCTCGAGGCCGGCGTCGGCGTCGGCGTCAGCGTCCGCGTCGGCCCCGTCGTTCCCCCCGCCGCCGTCGTTCGTCGTCGCCGCGCGCGCCCGCCGCGGCCGCGTCCGCGGCGGTCGACGACGGCGCGTCATTCTCGCGTGCCGCGCGCACTCTGTCACCCACCTCTCCATTCCCACGTGGAACTCCCCCCTCGACACTAACTTGTCCCGGTTCGAGTCGAACTCCCTGAGCCAGTGCTCGACGTCGTCGTCGGAGACTTCGTAATCGCGCATCGTGTACGCCATCGCCACGAGCGCGGACCTGAGCTCGTCCTTGTTCACGCTGCCGTCCGCGTCCGCGTCGAATTGGTCGAACATCGCGTCCAACGCCCGCGGGTTGACGACGCCGTCGGCGCCGACGAGTCCCCCGACGCTCGCGCCGATCCTGTGCGCCATGCGCGAGCCGACGTGCCGCGCGCGCCTTGCCTTCGCCGCGCGCATCCTCCGCTTTTGGAACTCCGGGCGGACGATCTGATATGCGCAATACGCGAGCGCGGACGCGAGAGCGACGCCCGCGGCGACGGCGTCCAACTCCGCGTCCTTCACGTCGCCGAAAAACGCGGGGACGATGAGGACGAGGTAGCACGCGCACGACGCGATCATGATCCGCGCGTTCAGGCGCGTCTCCTTGTCCACGCTGACGCCCGTGCCGACGAACTCGAACGCGCCGCGCGTGAGCGTCTTCGGGATCATCTGACCGGTCGCGTCGTCGAGATCGCATCTCCCGACCCAGAGCGACCCCGCGAACGTGACGGTGAGGAGCATCACGACCGAGCCCGCGAGCGTGCCCATGCCGACGGCGACCTCGTGTTGCGCGATCTCTTTGGACGCGCCCATGCCGGACGCGACGATGACCGCGGCGTCCGGGACGGAGCCGAGGATCGGGAGGAGGAGCCCGCCGACGACGCCCGGGCTGAGCACCTCGAGGAGGAGCTCGCTGCCGTCCGCGATGAGCTTCGCGGAGGTGAGGAGCGCGAAGCCGTACACCGCGGTGAGGAAGACGGACCCGCCGAGGTTGTCGCAGTCGGGGAATAGCCCGAACGGGCCGGAGGTGACGCAGCTCATGACCGCGGCGCGCCGCGCGCGCCGATCTGACGCCGGGAACGCCCTCGGAAGCGGAAACGCATTATTTCTTCTGTGAGTGCCTGCTCCTCGCGAACTCGCGCTCATCGCGCTCGCGAGGAAAATAATATAATGGGCGAATCCGCCTCCGCCGCCTTGATTGCCAGCGGCGAAGCGCGGCGTGAGAGCAACGCACGCGACCCTCGCACGCGCTTTCGTCCCGAAACGCGTCCCGCGGAGTTTGCGAGCGCGCGGAAGACGTCTCCGGGGCTACGTCAGCGAGGATCGGCGCGCGGGATCGACCCTCGGCCGTGAGGAAGAGAAAGAGCGCGAGCGGCGCGTCGGGGAAAACGCGCGGGCGCCATGGCCGACGAGATGTACGACGAGTTCGGGAACTACGTCGGCCCGGAGCTGGAGAGCGACGACGAGCCGGCCGATGACCAGCAGGTGCGCGCGCCGCCGCTCGAACACCGCGCCTCCGCGACAGATCTCGGTCGACGCCGACCGATCGGATCGACGCGAATCGCGTCGATCGATCCGCCGCGCGCGATCGTCGCCAGGCCCTTTCTTTCCCCGAACCGATCCATCGATCGTCCGCCGACCCCTCACCCCCACCCCTACGCAGGACGACGCGTGGATGGACGCGGAAGCGCGCGGCGACGTCGAGGGCGAACCCGCGGACGCCGGCGGCGGCGGTCTGATGGACGAGGAGGACGACACGAACCCGGAGACGGCGATCGTTCTCGCGGAGGACAAAAAGTACTACCCGAGCGCGGAGGAAGTCTACGGCGCCGGGACGGAGACGCTCGTCATGGACGAGGACGCGCAAGCGCTCGAGGAGCCGATCATCGCGCCGGTGAAGAAGAAGTCGGTGGAGGTGAGAGAGCGGGACGCGCCGGTGATGCACGTGTCTGAGGAGTTTTTGAAAGGGCTTTCGGGGAACCCTAACTTGGTTCGAAACGTCGCGATCGCGGGGCATCTGCACCACGGGAAGACGACGTTCATGGACATGCTCACGGAGCAGACGCACGAGATCACGTACGAGTGGCTGTCGAACGAGAAGCAGTTGAGGTACACGGACACGCGTCTGGACGAGCAGGACCGGGAGATCAGCATCAAAGCCGTGCCGATGTCCTTGGCGCTGCCGTCGGGGACGGGGAAGCACCTTCTCTTCAACCTGATGGACACCCCCGGGCACGTCAACTTCAGCGACGAGGTTACCGCGTCGTACAGACTCGCGGACAGCGTCCTTCTCGTCGTCGACGCGGTGGAAGGGGTGATGTGCAACACCGAGCGGCTGATCAAACACGCGGCGAAGGAGCGACTGCCGATTTGCGTCTTCGTCAACAAGATCGACCGTCTCATCCTGGAACTGAAACTCCCGCCCGCGGACGCGTATCATAAACTCCGTCACACGCTGGAGGAGGTCAACGCGGTCATCGAGGCTGCGTACGGCGGCGACGAGAACTGCCCGTTCGCGGACCCGGTGCGCGGCACGGTGTGTTTCGGCAGCGCGTTGTACGGCTGGTCGTTCACGCTGCATTCGTTCGCGAAGCTTTACGCGGACGTTAAGGGGGTCGAAATGAACACGAAAGAGTTCTCGCGGAGGCTGTGGGGGGACGTGTACTTCCACGACGACACGCGTACGTTCAAGAAGAAACCCCCGCCCGGCGGCGGCGAGCGGAGCTTCGTGCAGTTCATCCTCGAGCCGCTGTACAAAATTTACTCGCAAGCCGTCGGCGAGCACCCGGCGTCGTTCGCGCGCGTGCTTGCGGAGTTTGGCGTCACGCTGAAAGCGTCGGACTACAAGATGAACACGAAGCCTCTGATCAAGCTCGCGTGCAGGTCCGTGTTCGGCGACGCGAGCGGGCTCGTGGACATGCTCGCGTCGCACTGCCCGACGGCGCGGCGGGGCGCGGAGAATAAAGTGCTTCACGCGTACGGCGGTCCGCTCGCGAGCGCGAACGACGGCGAGGACGTCGTCACGGCGATGAAAAACTGCGACGCGGACGGTCCGCTGCAGGTGATGATCTCGAAGCTGTACCCAAAGTCCGACGTGAGCGCGTTCGACGCGCTCGGACGAGTCATGAGCGGGACGCTCAAAAAAGGCCAACGCGTTCGCGTCCTCGGCGAGGCGTACTCCCCCGACGACGAGGAGGATTGCGCGGTGAAGACGGTCACGGATCTGTGGACGTACGAGGCGCGATACAGGATCCCGATCGAGGTCGCGACCGCGGGGACGTGGGTTTTGATCGAAGGCGTCGACGCGAGCATCTCAAAGACGGCGACGCTCGTTGACGAGTTCACGAAGGACGACGTCCACGTGTTTAGGCCGCTCGCGTTTGATAACCAGTCCGTGGTGAAGATCGCGACGGAGCCGCTGAACCCGAGCGACCTGCCGAAGATGGTCGAGGGGTTGAGGAAGATTAACAAGTCGTACCCGCTCGCGGTGACGAAGGTGGAGGAGAGCGGCGAGCACACGATCATGGGCACCGGGGAGATCATGCTGGACTCGATCATGAAGGATCTGCGCGACTTGTACAGCGAAGTCGAGGTCAAGGTCGCGGACCCGGTCGTGACGTTCTGCGAGACCGTCGTCGAGACGTCGTCGCTGAAGTGCTTCGCGGAGACGCCGAACAAGCGGAACAAGTTTACGATGATCGCGGAGCCGCTGGATAAAGGTTTAGCGCACGACATCGAGACGGGCGAGGTGTCCTTGAAGTGGCCGAAGAAGAAGCTCGGGGACTTTTTCCAAAACAAGTACGACTGGGACGTCCTCGCCGCGCGCAGCGTGTGGGCGTTCGGGCCGGACGACCACGGCGCGAACGCGCTCCTGAACGACACTCTACCGTCCGAGGTTGACAAGGAGTTGTTAAACGCGGTCAGGGAGAGCGTCGTGCAGGGGTTCCAGTGGGGGACGCGCGAGGGGCCGCTCTGCGACGAGCCGATTCGAAACGTAAAGTTTAAGATCCTCGACGCCGCGGTCGCGCCGGAGCCGCTGCACCGCGGCGGCGGGCAGGTCATTCCCACCGCGCGGCGTGTCGCGTACTCCGCGTTTCTGATGGCGTCGCCGCGTCTGATGGAGCCCGTGTACGCGGTCGAGGTGCAAACCCCCGCGGATTGCATGTCGGCGATTTACACCGTGTTGTCCAAGCGCCGCGGGCACGTTATCGGGGACTCCCCGAAACCGGGGACGCCGGTGTACACGGTGAAAGCGCTGCTTCCCGCGATCGAGTCGTTCGGGTTCGAAACCGACTTACGGTATCACACGCAAGGGCAGGCGTTCGGGGTGTCGTACTTCGATCACTGGGCGGTGGTTCCGGGGGACCCGCTCGACCGATCGATCGCGCTGCGGCCGCTCGAGCCGTCGCCGGTGCAGCACTTGGCTCGGGAGTTCATGGTGAAGACGCGACGACGGAAGGGGATGAGCGAGGACGTGAGCGTGAACAAGTTCTTCGACGAATCGCTGTTGTTCGAGCTCGCGAAGGCGGACACGGAGATCGCGGGGATGCTGTAGGTTGGACGCCGCGACTGATTGATGATTGATTGTTTTAATTGACGCGCACCGTCCGCTGCGTCGCATTCTCGTCGTTCGGTCGTCCACCAGACCGCCACCCCCACGCTCTCTCTCTCTCTCTCTCTCTCTCTCTCTCATATCTCATCTCTCTCTCTCATATCTCATCTCTCATCTCTCGCGGCATCGCTCACGCGGACTTCCGCTTCGGCGGCGGCGGCGCCTTGATCATCCCCACGACGCTCACGGCGAGGAACACGAGCTGCACGACGAGCGATTTCATCGCGACGCGAACGTTCGTCGCGCTGAGCTTGGGTTCGAAAAACACGCGATACGCGGAGACAGACGCGAGGAGGGCGTACTGCATCACCCCGACGCGCAAACCCGCCTTGTGCTTGTCCACGAACCCGATGTAGTGGAAGTAAAGGAACGACATGAGGAACTCGAACGCGCCGACGACGCGCATGATTTGCGCGAGGACGTCCCACGCGCCGGACTTTTTCCACGACTTCATGTCGCTCTCGACGCCGTACATCGTCAGGAGCTTCGTTTGCATGAAGCCGAACAGGACGGCGTACGCGAAGCAGCACCCGGCGTTTAAGCCGAGGCAGAGGGACGATATTCTCGAAGAAGACATGTCGAGGGTGTGGACGCGTGCGCGGATGTGGCGAATCGGACTCGGACCAGCCAACGACTTCCTGTAAAGCTGAAAAAGTGCAGTCCTCCAGATTTTGAATCTGAGAGTCGCAAGCTGCCGCGCGGTCGAGCCACTTCGTCGCGCGCGACACGCGCCGCCGCGAGTGCGAGTGAACGACGCGCGACGGGATGTTCCATCACGACCCTTCCTCCGCGGTGACGCCCACGGACGCGACGCGGACGGTGGAGTACTACCGCTACGCGCTCGAGACCGGGCTCATCTCGCCGCACCACGACCGGCGATGCGTCTCGCCGTGGGAACACGGATACGGCGGCGTGAACGCGCCGAACGGGGGGTTCGCGTCCGAGGCGAGGGTCCGAGCGGGAAAGAGGTACCACGAGATGTCTTCGGATGACGTCATGGAGGAGGATAAATTGGGGGAGTACGCCGGCGTCGGGAGGTGCGCGTCCGACCGTCGACGCGACGCACAGCTGTCGCTGTCGCCTTCCTACGACGCGGCTATTTTGACCGAGTCTCGCGCGTCCGGGCACCTCACTTCGAACCCGAATCGACTCGAACGACCTCTGACCCTCCCGTCGTCCATCGCTTTCGATCTCCACAGGGAAGGGTACAGGCGCGCGAAACGGACGTGGCGACACGCGGAGGGGGTGGCTGCGAACGCGGGGTTGGAGGGCGCGGCGACGCCGACGGAGGCGCGAAGTCCGGCGGCGGCGGCGATCGAGACGCCGACGCAACGGCACGAGCTCGGGCTGCTTCGGACGCTGAGGGACCAGCAAGTGCTCTGGGGGTACTGACGGAATGAATGATGAGTAGCGTACACCGCGTCGTCGGGCGTGCAACTAGCGTAAACGATACGATATCGTCCAGAGAACGATGCTCTCAAACGAGCGTGAACGACCGTCGCGATCTCGATCCGACTGAGTAGTGAGTCATAACACGACGACGTCGCGTCACGACGTCGCGACCCCACCCCCCGCGCCCCTCTTCTCCGCGTCCGCGTCCGCCTCGTCGATCACCCCGCGCATCGCGCGTAAATGAAACCACGCGAACTTACTCAACCCTTTCAGAATCTGCGATGTCACGAGCGTGAACCACACGCCGCTGATGCCCCACCCGCACGCTATGGAGAGGAAATACGCGGCGGGCACCCTCAACACGTTAATCGCGCCGCCGATGGCGAGTATGGGCACGGTGTTCCCGACGCCGGTAAAGCACCCTTCCGCGACAGCCTCGATCGCGAGGAACACGAGCGCGCCGCTGTTCCAACGTAGATACCCCCCCGCGGCGGCGACGATGGAGGGGTCTGAGGAAAACGTCGCGACGAGCGCCGGTCCGAAACAGAACAACACGCACGCGAACGGGACCATGCACGCGGCGCACATCGCGACGATCACGAGCGCGGCATCCCTCGCCTCTCTCGGTCTCCCCGCGCCGATCCACTGCCCGACGAGCGTCGCGCACGCGAGCCGGAACCCCTCGCACACGGTAAACGCGAGCGCCTCAAATTTTTGACCCAGACCCATCGCCGCCAGATAATTCTCCCCGCACGCCGACGCGATCCGTCCTATGGCGATGTACACGAGCGTGAACACCACCCCGGCGCTCGCGAGCGGCGCCCCGATCCGTACCATGCCCCATATGTCTTTCGCGCACGGCCTCGCCATCGCGATCGTCAGTCCGTGCACGCGCTTCAACGCCGCCGCGTGCGCCGCCGCGCCGACGCATTGCGCCGCCGAGAAGCCCACCGCGGCGCCGACGATGCCCAACTTCGGGAACGGCCCCCACCCCAACATCAGCGCCGGGTTCAACGTCAGCGCGAGGATCGTGCTCAGCGCGGTGACGCACAGCGCCGGGCGCGTGCGGCCGAGCCCGCGCCACGTGGCGTCCAGCACGGTGCTCGCGAACATCCCGAAGGAGCCGAGGAGCGTCGCGAGGAGGTGCGTTTTGCCCCCCGCGGAGCGCCACGCGCCGCCGACGTCGAGGTCGATCCCGAGCCCGGCGGCGTACAACGTCGGCGCGAACGGCGCGAAGCACGCGAGCGCGGCGTACGCGAACAGCGCGCCCCACAGACCCTGCGTGACGATTCGACTCACGGAATGCGAATCGCCCGCGCCCACGAACGCGCTCACGCGCGCCTGCAGCCCGGTGCCGACGACGTTGGCGACGAGCAGCAGCATCCACAGCGCGAACGCGTTGTAACACAGCGCGCTGAGGTCCGTCGCGCCGAGCTTCCCGGCCCAGTACGCGTCCGTGAGGTTGAACGCGGAGCGCAGGAGTCCCATCGCCATCATCGGCGTGCCGACCGCGATCGCCGCGGTGGCCGTCGGCACGCGAAGCAGAGGAGGGAGGGACGACGACGACGCGACGTCGACGTCACGGGACGACGAATTCGACGACGACGACGACGTCGACGACGCGTCGTCGTCGTCGCCGCGGACGTCGTCGTCGCCGCGGTAGGCTTCGCCGAATGAAGAAGAGACGCCTCGGCGGCGGAGGATGATTCCGCGTTCGGGGGCGCGATGCCGTCCCGACGACGAAGCGCGCGCGTCTCCGCCGCGTACCATCTCGCGCCCCGAGCAGATCGCCCTCTTCGCCGACGTGGTGCCCTCCGCGCGAGCCGCCGCCGACGCGGGAAGACGCCACCGCGCGACGTCGCGATGCCGCCTCGCGCCCGTCCGCGCGTATCGCGGACATGATGACGCGAGCGCGGAGCGTCCCCGCGCGAGCGCGGCGAGCTCCTCGACCGCCATGCCGCGGGCGCGCTGCTGGTCAATGCGTCGTGGCGGCGGCGTAACTAACTCGGAGAAGAGCGGCGACGTGAGATCACGCTCAACGACGCTCGGAAAACGTCGCCGCCGACCAGTGCCAGCGGCGCCGCGGGGGTCGCGCCCCGCCCGTGCATGCGACTCGGCTGCTCGTGCGCACGATCGACCGCGGCGGTGAACCCGGAACCGCGCGAACGTCGCCGCGAAGAATCCGAGGGCTCGGACTGGGACGACGACGAGTCCGACGACGAGGCGCTCCGCGCGTGGGAATCCGCGCGCGCGTCGGAGTCGGGCGCGACGACTTTGGTCGACGCGCCCGCGGCCGCGACGATGAGCGACGACGACGACGACGTCGAGGACGTCTTCGCGACCCCGCGAGCGGTGATCGCGCCGCCAGACGACGCGGACGAGCGCGAAGAGATCGAGGACGCGATCGCGTCCACGAGCGCGCCGACGGCGCCGCCGCCCTCGGTCGTCGTCGCGACGAGGAGCGATCCGAGGGACGCGTACGGATTCGACCTGAGCGATTTGGACGGCGCGGGCGCGGCGGCGCGCGAGCGGTGCGACGCGCGCGCGGCGCGAAGAAACAAGCGATGGGAAAAGTACCGAAAGAAGGGCGACGCCGCGTTCGCCAACCTGTCCCACCGCCCGAGCGGGCGGCTGAAGAGGCTCATACGCAAGGGCGTGCCGAAAGACTTGCGCGCGGCGGTGTGGATGGCGACGAGCGGCGCGCGCGAACGCAAAGACGCGGCGCCGAGGAAGTACTACGGCAGACTGCAATCCTTGCCCGTGGACGGCGCGGTGGAGGATCAAATCCGGGTGGACTTGCACCGGACGTTTCCGGAGAACGATCGGTGGTCGAACCCGGACTCTCACCGGGTCTTAGAGCGCGTGCTTCTGTCCTACGCGAAGCATAATCCGTCCACCGGGTACTGCCAGGGCATGAACTTCGTCGCGGCGTTTCTTCTGCTCGTCGTGACGGACGAAGAGGACGCGTTTTGGGTCCTGTGCGCGCTCCTAGACGACATCTCCCCGCCGGACATCCACGCCGCGGACATCCGAGGCACGATCGTGGAGTACGGCGTCCTGCACGACGTCGTCGCGAAGATCGAACCGAAGGTGGGGAAGCACCTCGAGGCGTGCGACGTCGAACTCGTGATGATCGCGTCCAAGTGGCTGCTGTGTTTCTTCACCGAGAGCTTCCCCGCGGAGACGTCCGCGAGGGTCCTAGACGCGATGTTCAGCGAGGGGTTTAAAGTGTGGTTCCGAGTCGTGATGTCGATGTTGATGATGAACAAGAAGGAGCTCACGCGCGTCGATAACGCCCCGGAGATTATGCAGTGTTTAGGCGCGTCGTTTCGCTCGATGCACGATCGCGACGCGCTCATGGCGTTTGCTTTTAAAAAGGTGCGCGTCGATCGGTCGTTCGTGGAGAAGTGTAGGGCGAAGCAGGAGAAGGCGCAGGCTGCGGAGAGGCTGCACAGGGAGGGGAGCGAGCGCGCGTTACACAGGATGAAGAAGTAGCGAGCACAGAGACCGACGGCGGCCGGCGTTGTAAGAGTCATACGCTTTACCGTTTTTTCGTCCTCGCGCGCGGCTTGTCCGAACAAGTCCGACATGGACATCGCGATGAATCCACAACGAGTTGTGGACAGGCCGGGCCAGGCCGAGAGGGGGTCGTGAGAACGCCTCGTTTGAAACGAACGAATCTTTCTCTTCGCGACGCGAGCACCCCGGACGCACACGCGGACGCACCGCGCGCGTCGGTCGAACGCGAGCACGCGCGAGCGATCGAGACCGCGCACCGCGTCCGCGCGCGCGAGCGAGCGAAGGCCCCCGTCGGCCGTCCACGAGCGCTTTTTCGTCGTCGTCCGGATTTGGGGACGACGAACAGACGGCGCACCGTGAGACACCGCGGCCGAGATGGCGAACGCCTTCAGGCAGACGCACCTCATCCCGAGCGGGGCGCAGACGTGGATCCCGCAAGTCATCGCCGCGCGCGGGGACCGGTTCGCGTACGCCTCCACGCTCGCGATATTCATCTACAACAACGACGACCAGTGCCTGAGCAAGGTGCGCCTCGAGAGCGGAAGTCGAACGCGCGAGCGACGCTCTCATTAGCCTCTCTCGTCAAAAGCGCCCCGCCTCGCGCCCGCCGCGCGCGACGTCCGTCTGACCCACCGACCGCCCCACCAACCCCCGCAGATCGTCGCGTGCCAGTCGAGCACGATCACCGCGTACGCGTGGCACCCGACCGAACACAACCTCCTCGTGGTGTGCACCGCGGACGACACCGTGCACTTCTACGACATCGAAAGCGACGCCTCGATCAAGTCTCTCAAGTTCGCGAACCACCAGGTATCGCACATCGCGTGGAACCCGCACCGCCAGGGGGAGTTGATATGCAACGTTCGCGTCGGCATGTACGTGTGCGACATGAACAAAGAAACGCTTAAGAAGATGGCGTTCTCGCCGCCGTCGAGGACGACCGCGTTCGCGCAGCACCCGTTGCTTCCGAACTTGTTGGCGTGCGGGACGGTGGAGGGCGGGGTGTGGCTCTCGAAGACCGACGGCGGGTCCGCGAACCACCGGCTGTCGCAGCGGTACGAGACCGCGATCGCGGATATAAGCTTCGACCCGAAGTCCGAGGATTACGTCTTAGTCGCGACCACGGGCGGGCGCGTCGCGTTGTGGACGCTCCAAGGCGCGTTCGACGCGGGGAAAAACGCGGTCAAGCCGTTTCTCGTGATGGAGTTTCAAAAGCAACAGAACGGTTTGACCGCGGCGAAGTTCATCGACGGCATGCCCGGGACGTTCGTCACCGCGAGCGACCGCCACGGCGTCGTCCGGGTGTGGAACGTCAGCAACGCGGCGCCGCTGCACTCGATTAAAACCGACCACGGCCCGGTTTCGTCCATCGCGTCGCTGCAAAACGAGACGAAAGCCGCGGTGTCGTTCGCGTCCGGGCACGTCGCGGTGCTCGACGTGAAGGACCACAGAGTGCAGTGGAGCAACGACGGGGGGCACACGGAGACGATCTTCGACTGTCACCTGAGCGGGGAGAATCCGCACACGCTCGTGACGTGCTCGTTCGACGGCACCGTGCGACGGTGGGACACGCGAACGAAGAAGGGGATTCAGACGTTTAAGACGACGGACGCGCGATCAAAAGACTCCGCGCTCGGCGGCGGCGACATCAAGAATGATCACGGCGGTAAAGGCGCGCTGTACTCGTGCGCGATCTCGTGCGACGGGAGCATAGTGTGCGCGAGCGGGTTCGAGGGGAAGCTGTATTTTTTCGATGTGAAGACGGGAAGGACGCTGCCGTCGATCCACGCGCACGACTTGAGCGTGCATCGCATCGCCGCGCACCCGAAAGAAGGCGGGCTGTTCGCCGCCGCGTCGTTGGACGGGTCGGTGTCCATCTTCACGAAAGATGGCGTCAGGCTGTTCATCATGACGCAAGATCCGTGCTCGGGCGTCGCGTTCGACTTGTTCCGCCCGGACAGGATCGCGATCTCGTGTAAGTCTGGCCGGATCTACTTGTGGGACTGGCGGCTTTCCGCGGGCGTCGGTCACAGGTCGCAGCAGCAGAGCCCAAAGTCCGCGCGCCTCGGCGCGAGAGAATCGCACCTGGACGACCCGGGAGTCAAGACATGCTGCGGCGCCGCGCCGACGGACAACACGTTCGGGCACACGGCGAAAGCCTACGGCGTCAAATTCTCCCCGCTCATCCAGAACACGATGATGACCATCAGCGACGACCACACCGCGAGGGTGTGGACGCTCACCGAAGGCGCGACCCCGGAAGCGCCCGTGGTGTTGTCCGGACACACCTCGCGCGTGCGCTCGCAGGCGTGGCACCCCTCGATACCCCACGTGTGCATGACCGGGTCCTGGGACAAGATGATAAAGACGTGGGACGCGAGGTCGGGGACGTGCATACACACCAGCCGCGTGCACCTCGCGGACGTGTACGCCATCGCGACGCACAACGCGCGGCCGTTCATGGCGGTGACGTGTTCGAGGGACACGACCATACGATTCTGGAGCACAGAGGAGATGTGCCCGAGCGCGAAGTTACGAGCCGTCCTCGGGATGGACGTCACGAAGGCGGGGACGATGAGCGCGAACGGGGTGCCGAGGAACGGCGCGGGGGAGAATGGGGACGACGCCGGCGTGAGGTTGGCGCTCACCGGCGACGCGATCACGCACACGATGCGGCAGAGAATGGTGAGCGCGAAGACGAACTGCGAACGAAACGCCGCGGCGTTCACCGTGCTGTCCGGAGAAGTCGGCGCGGAGGAGATGTGGAAGCTCGCGACGATCGAGACGCAAGGGACAGCCGCGGCGAGGGTCGACGAGCCGAGCGGGATCACGGTGCCGCACAAGTGCGAAGCGCGGGCCCTCGCGGGCGCGTCGGCGGCGGCGCTCGAGACGACGGCGGGCGGGAGGAAGGGCGCGGTCGGTTCCTCGAGGGAAAACACGTTGAGACAGGCGGCGGCGTACCGCCTGCAGCTCGGGCACGTGGACACGTATTGCGAGATCATGAAAGAGCTCGGGGACTGGGACGCCGCGCTCGCGGCGGCGCCGGCGGTGTCGACGGCGTTTTGGCGGAAAATCGCGAGAGAACGCGCCGCCGCGCTCGCCGCCGCCGGGAGCGAGTTCGACAAGCTCATCAACCTCCAGCTCGCGACCGGACAAGCCGCGGACGCGGCGACCGCGCTGAGAGAGGCGGGGAGGGACGACGAGGCGTTCACCGTCGCGTGCACGATCGGAGACGGCGGATTCGGGGACGCGGGCGCGGACGACCCGCCGCGCGACCCGCCGCGGCAGCCGGGGCACTCGCGCATGTCGAGCCACGCGGACATCCCGCCGGCGATGTCGCACAGTCGGCAGTCGTCCTTCGGCGGCGGCAACGACGTCGGGATGATGTCCCCCGGGAGAGAACAGATGCTCGAGCCGCTCGGGGAGATTGGGTCCATCTCCCCGCACCCGCTGTCGCCCGGCCCGCTCTCGCCGATGAACGGCGCGGGTCGGCACTCGAGGCAGAGCTCGATCGATTCCATCTCCGCGATGCCGAAACTCCCGCCGCTGACGAAAGGGAAACTCGCGCCGCTGCCGCCGCTCGTGGTGAAGCAGCCGCTGCGCAAGAGCAACTCGTCGAACATGGGAAGCATGGGCGCGTTCGCGCCGCCGGACGCCCAGCCCGGAAGACACTCCGAGCCGCCGCCGACGTCCGCGCTCGCGGGTTTGAACGTCAACGTCAGCGGCGACGGCGACTCGAACGACCCGTCGCCGTCGACGGACGCGGGGTTCACCCCCGGCGCGCGCCTCGCCGCGGAGATCCCCGCCGGGGACGAGGCGAGGCACGTGAGAGCGGCGCAGGCGGAGCGCAAGCTGGCGCACGGCGACGCCGTCGGCGCGGCGTCGTGCCACCTCTCCGTCGGCGACGCATACTCCGCGGTGAAGGCGCTCGTCCGAGGCGCGCAGACGGAGATGGCCGCGGCGCTGATGCTGTCCGTCCCGGGCGCCGGGAGCGAGGACGACGCGCGGAGCCTCCTCGCGGAGAAGGCGAGCGCGATCGGGGAGTGGGACCTCGCGCGGGACGTCGCCGGGGGCATCGGCAACCCGGACCATCGCGCGTGGAGGCTTCTGCTCGTCCGCGGGCGGTACGCCGCGGTGGAGACGAACGCGATGGCGTTGGAGCGATTCAACCGCGCGTGCGAGGAGCTCGTCTTGGACGGCAACCCCGGGACGGACGCGGGGGAGAACGCCGCGCAGCGGTGCATCGCCGGCGACGTCGAGGGCGCGGCGAACCTCGCCGTGATGGCGGCCAACGACGAGCTGCGAAAGAACGAACGCACCGGCGGCGGCGCGATGAACACGGACGCGCTGCCGAGAATCCTCAACGCGCTCGACCTCGTGTCGTTCGGGAGAAACGCCGCCGTGAGCATCGATCCGAGGACGCGGGCGGAGGTGACGCTCATGCGGTGTTATCTCAGCGCGCTCGTGTTGGCGAGCACGGGGTACACCCCCGCGGCGTGCGCGTTGTTCCACCACGCGAGGGCGTCGTTGAAGAGCTTCAGCAACTCGCTGAGCGTGGACGGCGACGGCGCGGGCGCGAGCACGCCGTATAAGCCCGCGTTCCCGCACAGCGTCGCGTTTATTTCGCTGCAAGAGCTGACGCACATGGCGGGAACGTATCCGTCGGACGCGCGCGACGGTTTGAACGAAATCGTCAAAGCCGCGAGCACCGTGGACGCGTCGGTGAGAGACGCCGCGAAGAAGCTTATGAACGACCTCGAGGGCGTGAAGGACGAGGCGCCGATCCCGTCCGCGGCCGCGGTCGTGACCTTACCGGGGTTTAACGGGACCGTGAGGAAACACGAGTTCAGGTCGCCGTCGATGGAGATGAGCGAAGCCCTGCGAGCGGCGGCGATGTGGGACGCGGGCGGGTTCACGAACCTCGCCGCGTTTACGCCGCCGCGCACGCAGCAGTGGTGATCGGGGCTTATTCGTTTTAGTACGTTTATTCTTATAAAACATCAACGCGATAGGCATCCAAAAACACTCGATACGTGAATCAATCGATTTCGACCCCGCTCGGGGTCCGCCACTTCGCGCACGCCGCGCGCGTGCGCTCCAGCCGACCCGGAAAGTTGTCGAAGAACATTTGCCCTTTGCTCGTCGGCCACTCCGAGTTTAAACCGTCGACCGGGGCGTCTTTCGCCCACACCTGGTCCGCTATCATCTCCTCGTTGAACCCAAACTTCGCCAGCCACTCCTCGTCTTGCCCGTTTTGCTCGTTCAGCATCGTGTACCGCCCTCCTTTGCCGCGTTCCATGACGACGAGCTCGCCGTTTCGCGCGTTTCGACACCTCTCGAACATCTCGACGCTCCACTTGTACCAACGCATGAGAAAGACCCTCAACGTCAGCCCGTGGGTGACGATGACGACGGTGCAGTCCTCGGTCCTGCACCCGGTGACGTCGCAGTTGAACCTCCCGAAGTGCATATCGTTACGTAACGTCTCCCGGAAAGACGTTACGCGGTCGTACACGTCCGCCGCGGACTCGCCGTTCGGGAACCGGAAAAAAAACCGCCCGAACCGCTGCCGCTCTCTCTTCAGCTCCGCCATCCCGACGTCTTGAAAGTTCCCGAAATCCTGCTCGCGCATCCGCGGCTCCTCTCGCACGCCCAACACCCGGTGCGTGCCGATCGCCTGCCCAATCTCGTATAACGTCTGCTCCGTGCGCATGTACGGCGACACATACGCGTAGACGCTCTCGTTCGGACCTAAAATCGCCTTGAGCTTCTCCCCGGCGTCCCTCGCCTGCTGCTTGCCCTTCTCCGTGAGCTCGATGCGATGGTCCGGCTTGCGCTGGTACACCGTCTCGTCCACGTTCCCTTCGCTCTCCGCGTGACGAATCAAGATGATGCGCTTCGGGCGGTTCCAGCTCTCGGGGCGGACGAATCCGCCCTCGCCGCTGAGCGTGAAGGGCTCGTCCATCGTTCGCCCGACGTCCATGGAGTCTAGCCCGCGCGCGCGGACGGCTCTTCGCGCGCCGGGTTTCGGTTGTGAATGACGTTGCCGCCGAGATGGCGCGGCGACGGGCGGCGCCGCGCGAGGGCACGCGTGCGACATGGCGACGCGCCGAGATGAGTGGGCGGATAAAGCGCGTCGGTTGTTGCGAGTTCAGTGATGACTTTTCGGGAGTCGTTGGCGCGCGTTTCGTCGGAAGCCGCACAGCGGAGAGGCGCGCGGGCGCTCTCCTCCCGCGGCGGCGTCGGGGCGACGACGACGACCATGGCGCACCTCCCCGCGCCGCACTTCCAATCGATATCCGCGGAGCAGAAGACGATGTGCGACGGCGCGCACGCGCGGCTGCGGACGTACCGTCGCATGCTCCGCGGCGGGGAACTCGCGAACGACCTCCGAGGACGATTCTGGGACGTCGTCGTCCTCACCGCGGCGAACGCGCGCCAGGCTGCGGTGTACGACGCCCAGCTCGACCGCCTTCACGCGCGCGGACAGCTCCCCGGCGACCGCGCGACCTATCTCGTCGTCGCGGACCCCCCCGGCGCGCGCGTCGGGAGCGGAGGCGCGACGCTGCACGTCATGTTAAAACTCCAAGCGTCCACGGACGACGCGTGGACGCGCGGGCGGATACTCCTCCTCCACGCGGGCGGGTACAGCGAACGATCGCCCGCGCACGGGACGTTAGGGAAAGCGTTCGGGCAGCTCCCGATGGACGCCGCGGACGTGGGCGTCCCGGCGACCATCTTAGAAGCGCAGCTCGTGAACTTTGTCGATCTGGTCACCCAGCTTCCGCCCGGGGTGTTCGTGTCCTCCGCGGACGTCGCGCTGCAGTTCGGCGATACCCCCGCGCTGAGCGACGAGACGAGAGAGAAAGCGTCCTGGGGCATCCTCGCGCTCGGGCACGTCGGGGATCTGAAGACCGGGGAGCAGCACGGCGTGTTCGCGTGCGACCGGGAGAGTCTCCGCGCGTTCGCGGCGGAGGCGACGGCGGCGGAGGAGGAGAAGGAGAAGGAGAAGGACGCCGCCGCCGACGCCGCGCCGGCCGCGGGGCGGCGACCCTGGTGGTCGGTCGTGATGACGTGGTGCTGACCGGCGGTCAGCAGATAGGCGGCGACGTTGGGCGAGAGGCTGCCCGCGGCCGCTTGCGGCGGCGGCGGCGGAGGGCGTCGCGATCGAGGAACCGCGTGGACCGCGGAAAGTCGCCGCGCTCGAATGCGTCCGGTGCCTCCAGAAACCGTCCTCGTCGACGATGCACGCCTCCGGCGCGGTGATGCCCTCTCCGTCCTCGATGGGATTCCGCGGCGGCGGCGGCCCGGAGTGGGTTCTCACGGACAGCGCGTTTCACATCGGGTACCGCGCGTGAGACGCGCTCGTTCGATGCGCGGCGTCCAACCCCGGCGTCTTCGCCGACGTGCAGCTCCGGCCGCACGACGACTTCATGCAGCGTTTAGGCAACGACCACGACGACCAGCACCGCCCCCTCCAGCATCACGTCGAGCGCCTCCCGCGCCGCGCGCCGCCGCCGCTCCCCGCCGCCGCCGCCGCCGACGGCGGCGGCGTTCAGGCGACGCGGCTGCGCGCGGCGCGGGAGGCGCTCGCGAAGACGCTGAAGGGCGCGCCGTTGCTCGTCGTGCCCGTGCTTCCTTCGCGGTTCGTGCACGTGGGGACGCTTCCGGAGCTTTTGCACCACTCTGTTGCGGACGGGGACGTCCTCGCGGCGCTCCCCGCCGCGCATCAGGGCGTGAGCTTGGGGACGTGGGACGTCGCGATGATGAACGGCATCGGCGGCGGGGGCGGCGGCGGCGGCGGCGGCGGACGAAAAGTCAGTCGTCTCTCCGTCGGCGCCGACGGCGTCTGGGGCGCGGGAAAAGGCGCGGGCCCGAGCGCGTGCGAGCTCGCGTCGTTCGTGTCTCGGGGCGCGAGGATAGGCCCGAAATCTCTCGTCGCGCACT